TTCCAACTTCTTTCAGTCTGGGAGACAAACAGCATAAGACTGCTGTGTAGAATTATCCATAGAGTAATCTTTATTTTCATCAGCAAAGATAATCTTTATGGCTTGGTAGTAATCGGCTTTTGAATCTTTTTTTTTTTTATTAAAAAGTTTTATAAGTTTTACAAAAAGAACAAAACAATACAAAAACAAAAAACAACATATACAAAGAAAAAACTAAACATTACACAACAAAACCCCCCTTCCCCAACCCCCACCCAAACACCCCCCTCCCCCCCTTGAGCTTCCCAGAGCAGAATATAGGCTTAATTAAAAAACAAATAAAAAATTATGTTTATAAAAAAAGGAAAATATAACATTAAAATATATATGTATATATATAAAAATTAAAGATTATGAAAAGGCTATATAATATTTTTTTATATCCAGTTTAAATTGTATAAATTTTATCCACTTATCCCAAACAGCAAGAAATTTCTCTTGCGTTTGTTCCTTTAAAAAAGCCGAAATCTTTGCCATTTACACCAAATAAGACACTTTAAGAAACCACTCTTGCAAGGTAGGCAAAGATTCCTTCTTCCAATATTGCCCTACTAACAGCCTTGCGGCTGTAATCAAATTTAATATCAATATAACCTCCTTCGTATCACAATCAGTAACTATACCCAACAAAAATAATTGCGGAGTAAATTTTACCCTCCTTCTAAAAATTCTCTGGATATTCCACCATATCTTAATCCAAAATGCTTTTATCTCTCTGCACGACCACCAAATATGATAATAAGTAGCGTCCATACAACCACATCTCCAACATTTAGGTTGTAAGTCAGGGTACATAAGAGACATTTTTTGTGGATCAAGGTGCCATCTATAAAACATTTTATAAAAATTCTCCCTTAAGTTCTGTGCTTGTGTAAATTTGACATTTCTCACCCAGATGGTTTCCCAGGTGTCCAATGGAACTGGCTCACCAAAGTTCTGCGCCCATCTGATCATACAATCTTTAATTAGTTCCGTTTCTGAATCCAATTCAACTAAAACCCCATAAATCCTCTTAATGTGGGTTTGTCTTTGATCCTTCACTTGCTTAATAAAATTTTCATCTTCTCTAAGAAAACCCACCTTATAATCCACCTTCCATCTATCTACTAATTGCCTATATTGGAACCAAGAATAAATAATATTTTCTTGTGCTAACTCTTCCCGTAATTTAAACTGCCAGTTTTGTCCATCCCATCTAAGTAGCTGTCTATAAGACACCATATCCATTTTAGCACCTCTTGTTATTCCTTCTATCGCATGCCAAGGTATAGCCCATAATGGTACTTTAAAATCACCTTTATAATATTTTCTCCAAGTCCTAAGTAAAGAAATTCTTAAAATATGAGCTTTAAAGACCCAATCCATTTTTTTATTAAATATTAAATAGGCATGCCACCCAAAAAGTAAATCCCATCCCTCTAGATGGAGTATCTCAGGATTTGTCAAATTTACCCAATCACTAATTAGTGTTAGAACTACCGCATCATAGTATAATTTCAAATTCGGTACCTTGAGTCCACCCCTCTCACGGAAGTCTTGCATAATTTTAAACTTAACCCTTGGCTTTTTCCCTGCCCAAATGAATTTATTAAGGCCTTTCTGCCATTCACTTAGATTAATCTCATTTTTCAAAATAGGTAACATTTGAAACAAAAAGAGAAACTTGGGTAGAATATTCATTTTTATCACTGCAATTCTTCCCATGAGGGATAATTGCAACTTCTCCCAATTCTTCAAGTCTTTCTGTACCCTAACCCACAACCTTTCATAGTTATTTTAAATAGTTTTGCATTAGAAACAGATAACATCACCCCCAAATATTTTACCTTATTAACAATTTCAAAACCCGTCAAATTAACCAAAGTCTGCTTCTCCTGACTAGTCATATTTTTAGGTAGAATTTTAGTCTTATTAACATTAATCTTGAAATCCGAGACCAAACCATAATAATGAATCAATTGTAATAACTTTACTACAGAATAAGTAGGTTGCAACAAAGTAACCACCAAGTCATCCGCAAAAGCTCTTAACTTGTATTCTTTTTTGTTAACTTCTATTCCTTTAATTTCCTGCGACTCTCGAATTTTGATCAACAATATTTCCAATGTTAAAACAAACAACAACGGTGATAGTGGACATCCCTGCCTAGTACCTTTCTCTATTGTAAAAACCTCTGACAAACCTCCATTAACAATAAGTTGTGCCGTTTGTTTTTGATATATTACCGTAAGGGCTTGTACTATCTTTTCACCAAAATTCATCTCTTCCATTACTCTTAACATAAAATGCCAATTCAGTTGATCAAAAGCTTTTTCAGCATCTAAAAATATCAGCCCTGCAGGAACTTGGTTGTTCTTATCTAGGTATTCTAATAAATTGATAATTTGTCTAACATTATTTTTCATATACCTTCCAGTTATAAACCCAGATTGATCTTTATGCACAAGGTAATGCACAACCCTCATAAGCCTATTTACTAAAATTTTTACAAATATCTTATAATCCACATTTAAAAGAGATATAGGCCTATAATTCTTTGGTAAAGTAAGATCTTGATCCTCCTTTGGAATCAATGATATAAAAGCACTACGCCATGAAGGAGGAATCTCTAAACCCTGTAAAATATCATTAAAAAGATCACCTAATGGTTGAATCATCTCCTCCATTAAAGCTTTATAATAAACAGCTGTTAACCCATCTGTACCCGGTGCTTTCCCTGGTTTCAATTGTTGAATTGCTAGCGCAATCTCCTCCTTAGTAATTAAGCCATTAATTTCCTGTTTCTGATCCTCTGTCAATTTGGAGAAACTAGCCTCACTTAAATATTTATTTATATCTAAGATTTGCACATCGGTAGATTTATATAATTTTTGGTAATAATCCAAAAAAGATTTCTTAATCAATTCCTTCTGAGAGACTAATTTACCCTTATAATTTATTTTATTTATTATTCTCTGTCTCTGTTTCTTTCTTAACTGATAAGCCAACCATCTCCCTGGCTTATTAGCATTACAAAATGTATTTTGTTTCATAAACAATAAGTTAGTTGCAGCTTGATCTGCTAACAACATATTAAATTGTGTTCTTAACAACTTTACAGATTCTTTGATACTTTCATCAGAAGGATTTAAGATCAAAAATATCATGCAAAGTGGCATTCACAAGAAATCCAGGATAAAAGTGTATTGCAAAAGATTGGCAAGGAGTAGTTTGAAGTCCTGTTTCCTGTTGCACATATATGAAACAAGGTATGCTTCTGGAACATCTAGAAGACTTCCCAAATTTATGGGTTCAGAATAATAAAGAGATGTGCTAAGTAGTTATGCTACTTAGGATCCTAAAGAGATCCCTGTGCCTTCTACCCAGATGGCATTCCAGAAGGCTTAAATCTTGGCTGTTTTCCTAGGCCTTATTCGAGGGATTTTGCAATTAAAGAGTTTGCATTTAAAGCTGACCAGTTGGAAGTTGATTATTTTGTATATTTCATACTATGTATAATATATTGTTTTAAATTGTGAGCCTCCCAAACTCCCAGAGACACTTTGGAGTTAGGGTCTAAATCTAATAAATATATTTTAGACCAAGACAACACACTGTATACCAGGCACTAAGGTTGTTATTGTAAAAAAAATCAATAAAACTCTTACAAAAAAAGAAGCTTAGGCCTTTCCTACTGGGAAATAAATAATTTCTGTGAAGTTGTATTTAACATATTGTAATGGAATGTGTGAACGATCTTGAGGATCAAGGTGAAATGGTACTGCCTAGGAAAAAATCAGACAAGACAGGCAGGAACACCCCCCCTCCCCTGCAGTGACTTAATGTTGAGAGAAATTTAGGAAAGACTTGTCTAAAAGAAAGAGTAATTTCTCTGCTGAAAGCAGTCAAAGTCTATAACTATAACAAGATGCTTGTAGTTGGATGTTATCTTTTATCTTCCCATTGTCAAGCCCCACGGGGCTTGCCATTCGGTGGGGGGGGGGGGTAGCGGAAGACCAACCCCACCCCCACCAGCCCAGACCGTTGCTGCACCCGACGCCTCCCGACTCCCCGCCTCAGCCGCGGAGGACACCGGGGCCAGGATTGCACACCGTGCCGACCAGCTGAGCAGGGAAAACCGGCCGGCGGCGTCACGTGGCCACCCCGCCAGCCAGCTGAGCAGGGGAAACCAGCCGGCGGCGTCACGTGGCCACCGGCCCTCCCCTGGCACCGCGGGGAGTGCTAGGCCCAGCATGGAACATCCCGCCGGCCAGCTGAGCAGCGGGGACAGGCCAGCGAAGTCACATGGTCCCCAGCCCTCCCCAGATGCCGTGAGAGACGCCGTGGCCGACGCAGAGCATTCCGCCGGCCAGCTGAGCGGCGGGAACCAGCTGGCGGCTTCGTGTGGATTCCAACCCTTCCCCGGCGCCGCAGAAGACGCAGGGGCCGGCGCGGAGCACCCCGCCGGCCAGCTCACTGGCGGCAACCAGCTGGCAATACCGCGTGAGGACTGCACCCCCTCGGATGCTGCAGCTATAGGGGGTGGGAAGACACGCTCCACCAACCAACGGAGCGGCAGAGACTGGCCAGCGGCTGAGAACATGAACTCACCACAAGCACGGAGGCTGGGAGAAGCAGATGTAAGGCGGCAACAGACGGTCGGACGCTGGATTATGGGGGGCGGGGCTGCACAGGAACAGGGAGTAGGTCACAAGGGTGGGGTTATAAAGGTAATCAAGCGGATGGTGGTTTGTGGGCGGAGGGTGGGGATGTGGGCTTGGGCATGCTATAAAGAGCATTGGGAACAGGCCAGTCCCAGTGCTGACTTTGTTAGTTAGGCAGTGAATAAAACTTCCTAACGTGCACTGAGTTCCTGCGTTCCTGGCTTTCATTTCCGGATGACTGAGGACTCGGATTGACACCCATACTGTTTAGTCAAAGCACTTTTTTTAAAAAAAGATCTGAAATAACTACACCTAGAGTTTTGGAAAAAACAGCATCCTTGGTTATGTTCATCCAGGTAATCTTTTACATAAGTAGGTCAATAAAGAAGTGATACTGATAAAAGAAAAAAAACTAGAAGAAATGTATTAGGAAGAAAATAGGAAAGAAATACCAATTTCAAGACTACTGACATTTCACTTCTGTTTGTAGACAAGGTGATCTACCAAGAAAGGCAATAAGGATTAATTCACAACTACATGCAAGCACTTATTAAAAAAATAAGTGGTTAATTAGTGAGTGCAACTTTTGTTAATGTTAATCTAAGGATGAATTGACAGTAGATGAAGCCAGATATCTTGGCCATTCAACCTTTCAGCAGGAGAAAATATGTTTCCTGGAAAATATTGGCAAATATCATTTTATAATTTCTACATTCTCTTTCCCATTTTCAGCAAATTAGCAGTCCCCAGAGGTATTAGGATTTTAATTCCATCTACCATGATTAAAGTCTCAATATTTTTTGAAGAGCAACAGAAGTATTCTGGGAATTATGATCTCAAAACATGTGCAGGGCACCTGGCTGGATAAGAATATTCTGTAGTAGCCCTTCCTTGCCCCCCACATGAATTATTTCTTCTATTATTATAGGTTCACCCCAGTTTCTTCAAACAAAGATGAATTCCAGTGTCAGAACGCAAGACAATCAGAGGGACTGGAACAGGTGGAGGCTTTGACAAATCAAGTGACAGTTCAAATTGAAGCAAAGTCATAGCAAGAACCACTTTCATCTCAATCATGGCAAACTGTTGTCCAATGCAGTTTCTGAAACGTCAAGAAAAGTTGTTATCAAAGGTGCATCCATCTGGAAATTAATTTCCAAATTCCTAACCTTCTCTTTAAATGGCAATTCGCTAAACTGGTATCTTACATTTGTCCTAAGAGTCCCAACTCCCAAAATTCTCTGATAGTTAATTTATCTTGCCCGGAGTGTTCTTTGAAATATACTACTAGACATAATAGCAACATTCTAAGCTTCTGGGAAGATGCCGTGCTCTTTTATAGAAAACTAGAAGTTACTTTTTCCATTTTTTAAAGACCCAGAAACCCTTTTGGATTGATATTCTGAGAAAGTTTGCAAAAAATTAAAACGAGAATGGAATACCTTGCAAAAAGTGTTACTTTTTCTACCTCCATTTCTTCTGTCAGCAACGGTGGTGAAAACAGTAATTTTAAAAAGGAGATGACACCTACTCCTACTGCTACCATCTAGAAGGGCCTCTAAATATATCCACCTTTATATACCCTTTTTATACCCACTTTTCATTTTTGTGCTTTAGTAATAAATATCAAATCTTTGGAATCAAAAATCCTAATGAAAGAATGCTTATCTCAACACTAGCTGATTTTGTTCACCTACCAAATAAATCTGTTGGGTTCATTGTGTTTAGCTCAGTTTTGGCAAGACATGGACAAAGATATTCTAATTAATATGTTTATATCTATACAATATGAACTCACCTTGGCCCAGCAACAAAAGGAAGAAAAGCATGAGAATTTCTGCTGGATATGTTCTCAGGAGAAAATCTCAGGGGGTCAAACATCTAAAAACAAGAAATCATTCATCATTTTAAAGAAACTTATTTTTAATAGATGGTTACAAAAGAAATAGTAGTTGACCAAGTTATTATTTCTATCGAGTGCCATAAAAAGAGAAAATTAGGATCACCTTAGCTGGTCTTAAACTGAGTTGGACCACCAGTCCAATTTGTTCAGTGCAGTCTACTTTACAGTGAGGGCAATTACTCTTTAGGTTTTCAAGCAAATTTCTTCCAATTTGTATCTGGAACTGCTGTAGACTGAAACTGGGATCTTTTGCACCCTAAGATGAAATCTATCATTAAACAATTGCCCCTAATCTGAGAAAATATTTTTGAGTTGTTAACAATAAATGTTTTGCAAAGTGAACCTTTTGCTTTATTTTTATAGATTATGTTTATATTAATCTTAAATGCCACTTAGAAGGGTACTGGGACAACTCTTGACTTTGTTCTAGTCAACCCAAAGGATGTGGCTTTCTTTTGGAGAAAATAATTACAATATCACCAAATACCGTACCTCTGGATTATGCCATATGCTGGGGTTCTTGTGGATAAGATGAATGCTTATCGTAGTCCAAGTGCCTGGGAAACAATCAATATGGAAAAGGAGTCATGTTGGATTGCATGTAATGAGATGGCAATAAAAGCTCTCAGTGCTGGAGGTTTTGTGTCCATTCACCGATGGAAATTGAGACTGAGCCTATGGCTGCCATTCGGTACACAAATAATAGGAACTTTTAACATTCCCTGATGTTTCTGAACCAAAACAGTAATTCCAGTATATGTAATCATAACATATCCGCATTTAAACAATGGAATCCCATTTGGATAGCCTACACCAGTAGAAGGGCAGGCAGAATTTCTATTGACTTAGATATCTCAGTAGTTTTCAGTGCCTTCAGGTATACTAGCCTTCTAGTAAGGCTTCTTCTCAACAAAAATAACATGAATTTTTTTTCAGGTCTTCAGGGATTGTTTATTCCTAATTCAGTTCCTAGCAGATAAAGACACTTCAATCAGTCCTAAAGTCTGCCCAATTTTTATTCCATTCTTCTTAGATACATTATTGACCCTTTGGGCAGTAGAAGGAAAGGGATTGGTAGGCTGAACTGTGAATAAGTTGTTTTAATTCATTTTAAGTTTTATTAGTAAGCTAGCCCGGGTATTATAGAACTGAAATAGAGCCTTCTAGCTAAATAATGAAAATAAGATAGTTTAGAGGCAAATTGTATAAAGATGACACGTGTTGCAGATAAAAAGAATCTATGGATATGAGAGTAGAATAAAATGATTTGAACCTTCAGGTAAAGTTTTCCCATCAAAAAATGTAACAGGTTTGGTTAATTCTCGGGATACTCCAGGTACCGGGGAGTAAAGGCGGAGACTCTCTTTAATGCACAAGGTGCAGTAGGTCATCTTATTAAGATCATCCCTGGAATATATTGAAACAAAGTACATTAATAGATTAATTACAAATCAGATAAGTTATTTAAATCCAATCCTATGGACCTTCTGTATTGGTAGTTGTCATGCTAGAGTATACATATTGATAATTTCACTGAGATTCTACGCCCTCTCAGTAATAAGAACACAATCACAGCAGCAGAACCAAGACCTTAAAAAATGCAATCAGTGGGCACCCTTTTAACGTGTACCCAATACTTATAATATCACTCACTAATATCCCACACCTACCTACTGAATAAATAATACCTGTAGGAAATCTCTTCAGTAAAAATACTTACCACTCGATTGTGTCACGATCTCCCAGAATGGATTTTATCTCCTCTCTACATCTTTCCTGATGCTCTGGATTTTGTGCAAGGCAATACAGCAGCCAAGAAATCCCGCTAGCTGTTGTGTCATGACCTTCAAACATGAACGTGTCCACTTCAGCACGTACCTCTTCATCAGATAATCCAATGCCATTTTCATCCTAAAGATTGAGAAACTTTTATTGGTAAGATTTTATCGAGGAATTCATTTTTTCATATAAGACTTTAACTTAACAGTATTTTGTGATCCTGTCTTCCAGATAAGGATCTATGGCAGACAAGATATCCCTGATGAAGCAGGGATGGCATTGCGGTAGAGAACATAGGTCACATGGAAATTCAAGTTCCAGATAAAGGAGAGAACATGAAATAGCCCACTTGCACTCCAGACAGCTGTTCCTCCTGAGTAGACTGCAGGAATGCTTTGTTGTGAGTGGCTGAAATTCCCTGATTTTTATGAAAATCTTTGATCACAAGAAGATAGCTAAAGCACATTTTAGAGACATATTTGAAAATTATCTACAGAAAACTATTCATATTATAAATTATGTTGTAAAATATAAATGAGATGATACTTTAGAAAGATTAATAGGTACAAACAGAAATATACATTATTTCCTGCAGCAAAAAAGAAAAAAAGTTAGAGATTGTTAAATTGATTGTTTTATTCAAAAAAACCAACATATCTAATTTGGTTTCCATTTGGAAATCGCTTCTGGATTTTGTGCTTCTGATGGAAAAAATCAAACTTTGATTTTGGTTTTGCTGATTATATTTGCTGATTATATATGTTTTTATAGAAATGGCTACTATATATTGTGTAAAAGTAAAAAGTTGAGGCAGTAGTGTTATTATCTTCTACTGTGCTAAAGAGAGTCAGAAGTGAACACTTTTTTTTCTTTTTTCCCCTTTATTCCACACTTTTTTTTTTCCTTTTTTCATTCATTAGTTTTTCATTATTTTCATTTTGTTTATATTTTATATTCTGATAAACTAATAAAAATTTTCAAAAGAAAAAGCTTAAGTAGATGTAAGAAAGTTTCAAAACAATAAAGTGGATAGTTTTTTGACAGTTTTTTTGTGTGAAAGTGCTTTTGAATAAATTAGAATTAAAATTGACAAACAATCTGGACCTTTATGGATATGTTTTTTGTTTATTAAAGAGTGAAGGCAATGGGGTGGATTTAAAAAAAATAAAAGGTAAAACAAAGATTAAAATGGAATTATGCATCAAAGAGATGCATATAATTGCTAAGGTGTATGAACTTCTGTTGAAATTTGAAATGGAATAACAAGTGAAAGAATATAAATTAGGCTAAAGTTTTCATTATAATATGCAGATGGAACAATAGGAAAATATGTGGTTGAAAGAATTAAAATTTACACTTTGTTATAAACCTGAAGAATTTTTTGAAATGATATACTGTTGGTATATGTCACCAGAAAAAAATGTCTAGAATGTATAAAGACACTTCAAAAACATGTCAGAGATGTGAAGAACAAGAAAGGACATTTTATGATACTTGATGGATGTGTTAAAAAGCTATACAATTTTGGATTCCGTTTCACTGATTCAGAGGATTTTAAAATTAATATACAATTGTGACCAAAGGTCTTTCTTTTGGAACTGATGAACAAACTGTTGGGAAAAAGTTATGAACTTTGTTTATGTATATAAAAACTGCAGTGATATTATAATATGTGCAAAGATAGAAAGACTCAGCAATGCCTACAATGCATATAAGGAATGGTTGGGGAAGATGTTAGAACTTGTTGAGATGGCCAAATTGAGTTTTTTTTATTACAGAAAAAACAGTATATACCAGTGGTGGCGAACCTATGACACGGGTGCCAGAGGTGGCACTCAGAGCCCTCTCTGTGGGCAAACGCGTTATCGCCCCAGTCCTAGGCCTTCAGGTGGGTTTTATAAAACCTTTTCACTTTAGGCCTCCGCCGCCGTGTACAAAAAAAAAAAGGTTCAATCAATCAGTCAATTTCAACTTCTTGTGGGAAAAAAAGATCTTGCAAAGTTGGAATTGATTGATTTTTTTTAGTCCCACCCAGTCTGCCGTTACCACCGCAGCCACGCCCACCCAATGGGCCACATCCACCTGGTACCCGATGATGCATAAGTGGGTTTTGGGTTGCAGTTGGGGCACTTGGTCTCTAAAAGGTTCGCCATCATTGGTATATACTGTATGTTTATTGCTGACTGGAACCCCTTATGGACTTTTTATGAAAAACAGAACAAAAATAAATGTATGATTTATGATTTTGATTATTAGGCAGGATAGATTATAGAAAAAGAGACAAACGTTATAACTTTAGAGTAAGAGATAAGATTATAATTGTACTGCTGTAAAGATCAGAAGCCATGTCTTTGTATTTTTTCTTTCTTTTTTCTATTTTTTGTTTTTTTCCCTTTCTTGTAATTTTAGCTCTTTGATTTTTCTTTTTTCTTTCTTATTTTTTTTACTAGTTTGTATTAGTTTGCATCTTCTTTTTAAAAACTTTTAATACTTTATAAAAAGAAAATATTTGTGATCCCAGCTAACTATTTATTACAGGTATAGAGTCTATGCTTTGCCAAGTCTGTTACTCATTGCTGCTGCATATAATCCTAATGCAGCAAATATGTCCATATTCTCAGAAATCAAGTTCTCTGGCAAACAATGCAGAAACAGCAACCTGAACAGATGTATTTCTTGATGCTAGACAGTAGAATGGAGACAAACAAACAAATAGGTCCCCTAAGGTTCAAAGGAAATTAATAGAACTTAGCAGAGGGTGCAATCTTTTCCAGTCATGTTATTATCTCCCTTTCTAAAAAGTTAAGAGGATGACAATCCTTGTTTCTTGTATCACCTTAAATCCCCAGACTCTCAGAAATTATATATCTGTACCCATATCACTTATCTTTGAGACTTTCAAAACTTGTAGCATAAATTGTAATTGCAGGGTTCTTATTTGATTATATAAAGTCTACTGATGCTAAAATCATTTAGAAACCATAATCAGAACAAGTATAATTAACTGACCAATGTTTTCCTCATTGTAGTACTTACTTTGGCACAGAGAAGAATGTCAAGAAAATCCAAGTGCCTCTTCTTCTGGATCTTTTGAAGTTCTTCCTCAACCTTCAAAGTTTCCTTTCTTTCCCTGATTACTTTCTCTATATTGGAAATATTTGATGTTAATAACTCATGTTGAGGTAAAATATTGTTCACTTGTGCTTGGGTTGGTGGAGAATTATGCTGGCATAAAATTTGGTGGTGCCACTGTTGACACCTTCCCACCTGTGTTCTAATCTACTGCTAAATATGAGTGCAATGTTTATGCCTACGCAGATCTTGACAAAGCAATTGTTGAATCCTCCCTGACTCTGTTGTCCTCTCACTTGTGCAGGTTATCAGTCAGTATGAAAAGCATCTGTTAATCACAGCATTAACACACTAAGACTGTGTCATCTCTAAGTTCTTCTTTCCTATATCCCTCTTTAACTCATTCATTGATGTAGGATAAAGGTGGGTTGAATGTTGAGTCACGTTTAGGATTTTTCTCTCCTTCCTTTTCTTTCACTATATAGACAGTAAAAGCCAAAGTCCAGATTCCTCTTTGCTCTGTTAGGGAGATAATTGTAGTGGAAAGTTGGTTCTATCACTTGAGCATTCACTATTTCAGTCTTTTACAGGCTATTTCATTGTTACACCATTTCAAACAAATAGTATTCTTCACTTTTATTGAAACTTCATGCACTATTATCTACTATTTTGGGACAGTTAACAACAAAAGGGAAACCAATAAGGTATTTCAAAGACTCCTTATCCACAAGTGATCACCTAATTTAGGCACTGATGTAATGGGTGGTGAAATATAACAGATTGTACATGGCTTCCAGTTGTTCCTGGATGTTGTTGGTTTAACAATGGAAAGATGAAACAGATCGTGTACAAATTTAATAGGCATTTCTTCTATTTCTGCATTCAAGTCATTAATACAAAAGCTGCAGAGTATACAGTGAAGGGCTGAATTTTGAGGCAGCCCACTTAACATGTCACTTCTACTTGAGAAGGAATATTTGATAAAATACTCTTTCAGTTAAGATTTTCAAGCTAGACACAGTGTAGCCATTTAATGTCATGTCATGTCATCCAGTCCACACTTAACTGGCTTGCCAATCAGAATGTCATGGGTCCTGATATAGCATTCTTACAATCTAGTAAAGAAATTACTTGTTCAACAATATGAAAAAAATTAATCTGGCAAGATTTTCCCCCATAAATTCATGCTGAGTTCTTGTAATGACAACTTTTTTTCAAGGTCTTTTCAGACCGACCTCTTCATGAACTGCTCCATAACTCTCTCATATACTAATATCAGTCTGATTCTGTAGTCCTCTGGATTTTCATCTACTGTTCCAATATCTCAGGGGTTGCCACAAAGAATAGGGAGTCAAGCTATTCTCCAAAGCAACTGAAGGCAGGACAAGAAGCAATGGAAGGAAACTGATCAAGGAGAGAAGCAACCTAGAACTAAGGAGAAATCTCCTGACAGTTAGAAACAATTAATCAGTGGAACAACTCCAGAAGCTGTGAATGCTCCAGCACTGGAAGTTTTAAAGAAGAGATTGGACAACCATTTGTTACTCTGTTATTCTATTCTATTCTATTCTATTCTATTCTATTCTATTCTATTCTATTCTATTCTATTCTATTCTATTCTATTTTCTCCCCCTTTTTTTTGAAGATAGCCACATCTGTCCTCCTCCAGTAATCTGTCACTTCTTCAGTTCTCTAGGATTTATGAAGCAACATTAGCAAGTTCTTTCAGGACCCTTGCACACAATATAGCTGCCCAGAGTCACTTTGCAGATTATAAATAAATAAATCTAACCCAGTGATATAACTCATTCAAAATTAATCACTAATCTATGCCCATGTTTCTACCAAACACAAGCCCCAATCCTCTTTTTTTATTTTCACAAATTTCACCTCTTGATGGAAAGGAACTGAGCTAAAATAGGAGCTGAACAGTTCTGCCTTTTGTTACTTGCTACCATTTTTTTCATTTTATTGGATAGCTAGTGTACTTTATTTTAATCCCACTTTTCTTATTTTTATAAAAAAGGTGGCGAACATATCTAATACTCCTCCTTCCTCCTATTTTTCCAATAACATCAATCCTATGAGGTGGGTTGGGTTGAGAGAGAGTGACTGATCTTGCTTTCATGCCTAAGATGAACTAGAATTTTCAGTTTCCTGAGTGTGATGCCTTAATCACTAGATCAAATTAGCACTTGTATTGCTTCAATTTTCTCATTATTAAACTATGTCCTGCACAATCTCAGCCCTTTCAGATTTCAGGTTTCCCTAACATGATCTGGATGGTCCATATTACCTGGGCACCTTTTTTTTTTTTTTTTGATGAGTTGTCTCTCTTTGCAATTCTTTTAGGTGTCCTTTGTTGTGTTCAAGAATTTGTTCAATGTTTTATAAATTGCCATTGGTTCCTTCAGCTTCCTCAATTTTTAAAAAATTCATTGGAATGATTTGCAGTGGAGCTTTTAGTATGTACTTCTTTAGAAACTTCCATCACTTTTCTATTACTTCTTTCTACCACGAGTTGTGAGTTTATTAAATTTAAGATAAGAACTGTATTCATCTTTAATTACTCAAAAAAAATCAAAATTACTTATTCACTTATTGCAACACAATAATCTTCTATGTAATGGATTTTTTTTATTTTTATTTCTTTCAGCCATGATGATATCTACCAGCCACTATGTTATTCTTTTAATTTCAAATTAAAATGTTTAAGGATATTCTGAACATTAAACTGAAAGATGCCCTTTGAAGCCCATCTGTATAAATTTATATAGAGAACAATGAAAGTTATAAGCCAACCAATTTCTATTTTTAAGCTTGTTTATAGTAACTCCTTACACCAGACATGTGACGTCGCGAGACGTATCGGGACAGTTTTGCCATTGCTGGCAATGGGGTGGGCGTGGCTTCCGGATGATACATCCGGCCCATGGGCCAGCAGTTTGACACCCCAGCCTTACACTGTAAGAAAATGCAAAATTGTACATTATGTTAATCTTTTTAATTAGTCATTTTCCTGGTTGTAATAGCACACCAATTGTTTGATTTCTTCACTGAAGTGCATTACAAAATTTGAAAAAATGCAGACTGAAACAGCAACATACTAATGAAATATAAATTACACAGAAACACGTAAAATGATGTATTGAACAAAAATCCTATTCCGTATGATTTCTTCTTCTCAAACAGTTGTTTAGTAATTGCTTATTTTTTTTTGTTCATTTTTTATTTTTACCTTCCTTTGGGTCCAGAACACCCAAAACCAAAATCAAAGCATTGGAAAAATACCTGTATGAAGGTGAGCAACATGGCAGGCTTTCCGAAACCGAAATCCATGAGGACTGAACCAATATAGAAGATCACTGAAACCTACAATGTAGGACATCCTGGCATATATCAAGAAGCAAAGCTCAAAGACAGCTTGAACATAAGAATTTTCCCTAAAGGACGGCAGGAAAATCAAAGGATAAATTCAGGATTTTAAATGTGAGTATTGTTACTACTTTATAGTCTTCAAACAATAGCACTGAAATACCTCAGTGAAGCTTACTTCTAATTTTACATAAAATTATATCATAAACCATTAAATTTATTTTATGTCATTAAAGTTTTCATTCAGCTTTCTGGACAATAGTCAGTGATAAATGTTTAACAATCAACTCTATTGCTGCCATCTTGCCACTAGCCGCTGAACAGTTTGCTAAATGCTCTGTTCTCACCCACTTCACAAAATTCCAGAAATTTAACAATTAGTTCTCATGAGCCAATGCAAACATTAATAATGTTTGGTAATAATGCTGTAATGTATTATAGACAATACAAGGTACATCTATTAATACTTCAGGAATATTATTTAAAAGCAATTCTGACTATTCGTTAACTAATACAGTATAAATTCCCAGGGCATTTTATTGCCATCAAGCCAACCTAAATCAGGGAATGAATACTCTGCATCACAGGCTGCAAATAAATGTCAACTCTTGGTTTGGGGAATTTGGTTTGAATTCCCCTGCCAAAATCTCCAAAAGAAGAGCAACTGTTGCATATTAAATAAAGAGGACAGTTATGAAATGTGTAAGTGGCACTGTTGTGATTCTGTATATATGAAAGGGTAAGTAGTAGTTACAGAATAAAAGGATGGTATATTTTATAACAGGGATTACTTAAATCCCATTAAATCATTACTGAGTATGTTACTAACCAAAGAGATGTTAACCAAAGTTAAAAGAAAAGCAATACCAACTTGTACATTTGACAGTTGCTGTTATAACCAAAGGCACATTTCATGATGCTATCAAGTGTCATCAGGCTCACATGTTCAAAGAGTTCCACTGTTTTTTCCTGACTGATCAGTTGTTCCCATTTATCCTAAATCAACAGAAGGAAAATGAATTATTGCTATTATGTTGCATTGGACCCCTTAAAATAAGCAAAACTAAATTATTATATAGTATATTCTATAAATCTTTCTACTCTAACATATAAGAGACTAACCTCTCAATTTTCTCAAATAATTATTTTTCTGGGACATTCATTACATTTCTTTTCTGATTCTCTAATACAATGTTTCTCAACCTTGGAAATTTTAAGATGGCAGACCTCATCTCCCAGAATTCTGCAGCCAAACACACACACATGCACAAATGGTGCATGCATGCACCATTTCAGCTTTCAGTAAACCATTCGCTGATTTTTTTTAATAAATCAATTATTAACACTTACCAACATCACTTTTGTAGAGTCTGCAATCAGGGGCACATATGGCTTTAATACACTCAAGTGGAAACCTGGATTTAGCAATTTTCGGTGTTGTGCCCATTTGGGCCCATGCAGGACCAATAAACCTTTCCCTGAAGGAAATAGACACTTCACATCAAATAGGAAAACAGGAGAAGGAAGGAGTATTATATATGTTTGGCATCTTGCATTACTTATAATAAAGACAGGATGAAAAATAATAATAAAAAAATAAACAGCTCTATACAAAGTCTTGTTACATTTAAGTAATCTCTAATAATAATAATAATGATGATGATGATAATGATAATAATAAAGTTGGAAGGGACTTTGGAGGTCATCTAGTCCAACCCCCTGTTCAGGCAGGAAACCCTATACCATTTCAGACAAATCGTTGTCCAATCTCTTCTTAAAGACTTCCAGTGTTGGAGCATTCACCGCTTCTGCAGGCAGGTTGTTCCATTGGTTAATTGTTCTAACTGTCAGGAAGTTTCTCCTTAGTTCTAGGTTGCTTCTCTCTTTGATTAGTTTCCACCTGTTGCTTCTTGTCTTGCCTTCAGGTGCTCTGGAGAATAGCTTGACTCCCTCTTCTTTGTGGCAACCCCTGAGATATTGGAACACAGCTATCATGTCCCCCCTCATCCTTCTCTTCATTAAACTAGACATACCCAATTCCAGCAACCGTTCTTTGTAAGTTTTAGCCTCCAGTACCCTAATCATCTTTGTTGCTCTTCTCTGTACTTTTTCTAGAGTCTCAACATCTTTTTTACATTTTGGTGACCAAAATTGGATACAGTATTCCAAGCGTGGCCATACCAACGCATTGTAGAGTGGTATTAACACTTCACATGATCTTGATTCTCTCCCTCTATTAATGCAGCCTAGCACTGTGTTGGCTTTTTGGCAGCTGCAGCACACTGCTGGCTCATATTTAAGTGATTGTTCACTAGGACTCCAAGATCCCTTTCACAGTTACTACTATTGAGCAAAGTACCTTCTAAACTATACCTGTGTATTTGATTTTTCTTGCCTAAATGTAGAACCTTACTTTTTTCACCACTGAATTTCATTTTGTTAGATTGTGCCCAATGTTCAAGTCTGTCAAGATTCTTCTGTATCTTAAGCCTGTCTTCTGGAATGTTGGCTATTCCTGCTCGCTTGGTGTCATCTGCAAATTTGATGAGTTTCCCATCTATCCCCTCATCCAAATCATTGATGAAGATGTTGAAGAGCACTGGGCCCAGAACAGAGCCTTGGGGCACTCCGCTACTCACTTCCTTCCATATAGATGCAGTTCCATTGAGGACTACACGCTGAGCGTGGCCAGTCAGCCAGCTACGAATCCATCTGGTGGTGATGCTGTCTAACTCACATTTTTCTATTTTATCAAGTAGTAGGTTGTGATTTACTTTATCAAATGTCTTACTGAAGTCCAAATAAATTATATCCACAGTATAGTTTACAGTGGCAATGAAACTTCATTTCCACAACTATTGTATTTCATTAATTTTGAACCAGGTAAGTGGTGCTTTATGCACCTGATGTACATACAAAGCAATGAGAGAGAACTGAGATTTCAAACTTCATTACAACTGAGTCTATAGTAAGAACATTTACTATAACCATAAAGCGTAGTTGAGATACATTATGTAATGTGGGGATCAAAAATTCTTATTCTCTGTGCCTTTCTGTAACTCATGTTACCTTTCTACTTTATTTGATAGCTGATTGGTTAACCTGAGCATTCTTGATAAGCATTTTCTTCAGGTTTATCCGTTTCCTTATAAATATATTCTCCTTTGTGTGTTTCCTTATGGGAGGTTTTCAAACAAGTGATGGATAGACATTTATCAGGGATGGTTTAATGGGTTCCAACAATGAACAGACAGTTGGACTAGATGGCCTATTTGTTTCCTCCTTGTGTATATATTCTATGATCACTATACCTGGTTGTCAACTTTCATTGCATTGCATCAGAAATATTGTACAGCATAATAATTAAAACTTGAAATGCAGTACTGTGCTCTAATGGTTCATCCATACAGACGTGTTGATATATCTTTCTTCCATGTTGTTTTTGCAGAGTGATTTATCAAGAGAGTCTGAAGATCGTGAAGGGCAAAGTTCTTTTGGAGAAAATTGTTTTGCAAAAACCAGTATTTAAAATGTCTATTGAGATTCTCAGTCATCCAGGTCATGTTGTTCCAAAGGTGCTTTTTCTAAAAGGCAACTGGACTTTCTTGGTTTTTTTCCTTTGAAAACATTTCATTTCTCATCCAAGAAGAAGATTCTTTTGATACCCACATTACATAATATATCTCAGTTTATGGTTATAGTAAATGTTCTTACTATACTAGACTCAGTTGTAATGAAGTTTGAAATCTCAGTTTTTTCTCATTTCTTTGTACATACATCAAGTACATAAAGAACCTACTTGCAAATTCAAACAAGATATGAAAAAGATATAAAATTGACAGGTTTTTACAAAGAACAGACCCCATTGGATAAAATTTTGTTAAAAACAGATGAGAACTTGATTAGAAAACTGTATAAATTTCTTTTAAACTGGAAGATGGAAGAAGAACAAGTGAAAGAAACAATGATAGTATGGGCAAAGAACTTTGGATATTCTATAGATTTGGAAGACTAGCAAAAACTTTGGGATAAAAGTATTAAGCTTACAAAAGCGGTAGCATATAAAGAAAACTTATATGTTTTATAGATTCATGAAGCCCATTGGCGAGCATTAAATGCACTGATTGATATGAAGAAGAGTAAGCAGGAAAGACAGGGATTAAAAACCATTGGATGTTCCTTCCATGATCATATCTCTTATGCTAGGACAGAGGTTCTCAACTTTTTTAATGCCGCGACCCCCAACCGGTCGTAAGTCAAGGACTACTCAACTGGTCGTAAGTCGAGGACTACTCAACTGGTGCAGCACCGTTTGCAGAATGGGACTTTTGGCGGGCTCAGCAGGGCAGAGACAGCCTGGACAATTCCTATTGGCTTTTGAAAGCCAATAGAATTAGACTCTATTCAAGAGAGTCTATTCTATTGGCTTTCAAAAGCCAATAGAATAAAAGGGAGTAGCACAGCTAAGGAAAAGGGGGAAAAAATGGCGGACTGCATTGTTTGGCGACCCCTGTGAAACGGTCATTTGACCCCAAATGGGGTCCCGACCCACAGGTTGAGAACCGCTGTGCTAGGAGATCCAGAGCCCAGTGATTAGATGGCAAGGGTGGCACAGCAGTGTTGGCAAGACATTGACCTCTGAAGATTCCTCCTCCATAAATATCTATATGGGATGCTTTTTATACTTTCCCAGAGAAAATGGTACTTTTATCCATTTTAATTCCAGGACTTCAGTAGTCAATAGAAGAAGGCATTACATACAAGTTAGCAGGATAAATAAATCTGAAGGTCTTGTCTTACTCAGCCAATCTGTGGCACCTGCAGGGAAGTGTGTGCCTGAACAGGCACAGTGGGTAGACTAGAATATTGCAATGTCAACATTGCTCTTTCTGAATATGTGTATGCAATTCTCTGCCCAACCTGATGATTTTTGACTTCCTTTAGATGGCACTGCAAATCAATACATTGCCCATAAAAATCAATTTTTAAAAAACCTACCAACCCAAAGGGTTTTTTCTTCTTCTCACAAAATAAAAGTCTTGCTAAAATTTAGAGCTTCTATGTGAATCTCAATTTCTAATGTAAATTGTTTATTTATTTACTTACTGTACACTTCTACTTCCAGTAACTCTCTAGACATCTTTTGACCCTTTTCAACTCCCTCTATAAATCATGGGGATACTGGAAGTGATGGCACAATAATACAGTAGTAATAATACATGCTTATACAACCTATTTGGAATTTTATTACTGGAGAATACCTAATACATTTTATGTATATTTTTCAGAAATCATTAATTAAATAACATATGGACTCAGTTCTCCATCATAATGTATTTTGTCTGTTTGACTATTATATATAATCAATACACATTTCCATAGAAGTGGAAGCATATGGAAATTAAAATAAGCAAACAAAATAAAGGTAAAGATTGTCTTTCTTTAGTTACGAAGTAGCTATGACAAAGGTTTGACAATGTAGAGCTCCTAAGGGGGATTCTTTAGAATAAAATTATAAGCAATTTTATCTGCGCTAACTGATCAATTGTTCTTCATCATGGAGAACTGGAATATACATACCAATCCATGGAATTATGTTCCGATAACCAAAATTATCTTTTGGCTCTAAAACAAGAGAAAAAAGAAATAAAATCCTATAGATTAATTAATTACCCTAGGCTGTGATTGGAGAAAATACAAAAAAAAAAAATCTCTGAGAAAAATATCTACTAAGGAAATAATAATTAGAAGCTGGTTATGTTTATGGATAAAGAACTCATAAAGAATATTATACATTAAAATATAGGCATAATACATATATATCCTTACTTTCTAATTTCTTTTCCTGTTAACAGCCAGTTTGCAACTTCCCATTTAATATCCCCTTGCCAGTTACTACTTCAATATTAGGCAGGCCATTGGTATATTTACCTCAAAACTACTACAATGTAAAACCCATTCATCAAGTAAGAGAATATATTATTTATGTATATAAATATTTATGCAAATCTTTAAATGCATAAGAAAAACTGGCTTTTCTTTTTCTTATGGGTAGATAATTGGAGATGACATTTGTGTATGCAATTTGCAACTGTACCACAATCAACAATGGTTGTGGTTGGAGTCATAACTGTATATATATCAGTGGTGGCGAACCTATGGCATGGGTGCCAGAGGCGGCACTCAGAGCCCTCTCTGTGGGCATGTGTGCCGTTGCCCCAGTCCTAGGCCTTCAGCTGGGTTTTATAAAATCTTTTCTCTTTAGGCCTCCACTGCCGTGTGCAAAAAAAAAAAAAAAAAAGGTTCAATCAGTCAATTTCAACTTCTTGCGGGGAAAAAAAGATCTTGCAAAGTTGGAATTGATTGATTGAACTTTTTAGTCCCACCCAGTCTGCCGTTACCACCACAGCCATACCCACCCAATGGGCCACACCCAGCCAATGGGCCACACCCTCCTGGCACCCGACGATGCATAAATAGGTTTTGGGTTGCAGTTTGGGCACTCGGTCTCTAAAAGGTTCGCCATCACTGGTATATATACTTCCTTTGTTATTGACTGGTTAATGTACATCTGCACTGAAGTATTAATTACAACTAATTAATTAAGACTGTTTTGTCTTTTACCTGTTCGAGCAAGTATTGTTTTTGCATAATCAGGATGTGTTATATTCAAACATGCAGTGAACCTGCCAAACCACAAAGGAAAGGCAAATGGATACAGACAACTCCATTTCTCTACTTTTCTGTAAACTTCAGAAACAGATGAAAACTGTATTGATGCAAGATAAAGAAGAAAACAAGAAAAGGTGATATTTGGTAAAATATTTTAATGAGCTATTTGGTGTTTTTAATTTTTTTTTCAGGCCAAAGACTTCTCTTGCCCTTTAAGTAGCCTATCAGGACCCCTTCCCCTAAAAGCAGGTGGAGCCAGGACAAAAAGTGTGTGAAGCCAAATAAAACAAAATGTTATTTACATTTTCATTAATGAAATGTGAAATGAACAAAATACAGTTATTATTGTACTGTGTTACAAAATTTTGATCACATTAAACGTTAGTATTTAGTTGTAACTTCTGGAAGAGATGCACCTCAACTGAGCCTTTTAGGGTCTCATGCATCTTGGAAACTTAATTTCTATTCTTGTAGGCCACTTTTTAGCTGAGAATGTCAGATATTGCTCTATGTCAATCCAGCATAATATAGGATGTGAAACAAAGCTGATATTTGAAAAATCTTGCTGCGTTCTGAAAATAATCTGGAGCTCTGTGCAATCGGTTGAACAAATATACAAATTGGGACTGCAAATCAGACTAGCCCAAAATCAAAGTAAATAATGTTAAGGTTCAGAGCAATATATGAATGCAGCCAGAAAGGAGAAACTCAGCCTTTTGCTCCTGATCAAAATATGAAGAAAGTTTCAGATTACAGATATAGTGATAGCAATGACCATTTCTCTTGCCTGCACTTGAGGCTTTGCTGGCCACAAATGGAATGCAAGGGAATATAGGCAACCCATTTTAATTGTTTATTTGAAAACCAAGTGGCCAGAACACTAGGAGGAGAAAAACAGATTTCACTGTCATCCACTCTGTGATAGGAAACTGGGCTGTGCTACTTACTTTCTATGAGTGGTTGTAGGGAGGCTGGAAAAGAAAATACAATGGCAGACATAAACAAGTATAAACATGATCTTAGCCCAAGTGAACATAAATATGGGCAGTAGTCTTTTAAGATCGTTCAAAGAGATTCTGCCTTAATGAACTCCCTATAAATGAGGCTGAGGAATTTCAGTTTCCAAGATTTACTCCATTAAGATATCCTAGTAAAATCTGTGTTGCTGTTCTTGCTTCCTTGATTTTGCCAAAGTTGGCACATTTGGCATAATGATGTTTGTTTGATGTTGGTTTTGTGCACTGGATGAATATTTTGCTTATGAACGACAATGTTAAGGTTTTGATTGATTATATGCCATGAAGTTGGTATCAACTTCTTAGTGACCACACAAATGGATTTTCTCCATTTTTTTTTTTTTTTTGCAAAGTAAGTCCAGGAAAGACGTTGGGTAGCTATTAACTGACACAATGTCACTCAGGGAGTATTATAATTCATAACTGATTTGTACTATGGACTGTCTAACTTGCATATAACATAAGTCAAAGTTCTGTTGACAAGGCAACATAACCATGCAAACCTTGGCTGCATAAGGAACATGAACCATAAAATATATTAAATGGGTTGTGGATGAACAGGAATGAAAACAACAGCACTAACAATACAGAGCACTTCCTGTTTACTACACCTCCCTCTCTAGAATTCTTAATTAATATGGCCATAAATCTATGACTCAAGTCCTACCTTCCCTGGCATGAAGATGGCTTACTAATGTTTTTTTTAAGGATATGACCTCAAGATATTACCTCCATCTCACCCCAACCTTCTAATGAGGCTGCCTGTAGATGTGTTTTTTGTCCCTACATATACTTTCCAACAGGGACAATCTACGGCATCATGGAGACAAGACTGGGGATGCTGCTCAGGAAAAGTTATTTGCTCATCTACCACTGGCCCATCAAGAGTGCTGTGGAAGTGCTCACTTCCCTGTCTGCCACTTGGACATTGCCTTCTATGACTCACTTGGGGCCAGGACTGTGGGTTAATTATAGGCTGTGTGAGTTTTACTTTTGCACAGTCTTTACCCAACTTTTGTGCTAGCTCTAACCAAATAGTTACCCTTTCTTTTCCAATTGCCTTTCTCATTAAGTACTGTAAAACACATAGCCACAGTGACATTAGGAAGAAACAGCACAGTTTAATAAATCATTTTCTTGCTAGAAAATACTAAACAATATGAGATTCATAATATCTAAACTGCAGCCCCTAAAACTTTCCTGGGTCTCCACTGGAATTGGCTAAGAGACTCTGACATGCTCCTGCTTATACAGGTAGTCTTTGACTTACGACCATAATTGAGCCCAACATTTTTGTTGCTAAGTGAAAGATTTGTTAAGTGAATTTAACCCATTTTTAGGAGCTTTCTTGCCACAGGTGTTAAGTGAATCACTGCAGTTAATAACACAGTTGTTAAGTAAATCTGGTTTCCCCATTAACTTTGCTTATAAGAAGGTTGCAAAAGGCGATCATGTAACCCCATGACACTGCAACCGTCATAAATATGAGTCAGTTGCCAAGTGTCTGAATTTTGATCACATGGCCAAAGTGTGGAAAAACTATCATAAATCACTTTTTTCAGTGCCATTGTAACTTTGAACGGTCACTAAGTGAACTGTTGTAAGTCAAAGACCCATCTGTAATGGGGCCTAAGATAGCAGTACTACACATTTTCACAGCCTCTCATTTAAAAAGGGAATAAACCCTCCCAGCCATCCACTCAACCCTTACCTCTCGCACATGACCGTAAAGCCAATGGGGAGGGGGACCGGCATAATTGTTCAAAGCTTTCAGCAGCACCTGTCTTCGACGATGCAGCTGGATAATTTTGATCAGCACGTAGGTCAAGCAAAACACGGCAACCAGGTGCCAAACCCGCGAAAGATCCATCGCAAAATAAAGGGCAACCCGGGCTCGGGAGAAAGGGCCGCCCGCCCGGATGACAAAAATGGCTTCTTCCAAGGACAAAAAGCTACAAGAAGCGAAGCTCGTTGTGAACTCTTCACAACCTGGATGAAGAGTTGGCAAAGGAGAGAAAGTGCAAAGCGAAGTCAATGCAACTGGAATATGTGGAAAGGCAAGTTTCGTTGCCTAACGAGCTTACGAAAGAAAAGCTCGGGGCGGATCTTCCGTGCAAATGTCTTTGTTATACAGCTAAATCGAGAAGAAGGGAAGCCTCGGGGGGGGGATTACGTCATATTCAACCCGTCTTCAAAGTGACCGTGGAGAGAATAGCGGTGAAATAAATAAGTTAATACGGCTGGATCGGTAGAGCAATTTACTTCTGCATCCTTTTTCCCACGCGCGGCTCTGACACAAAAAACCCAGTCCCTAAACCAGGATTGCTCTGTAAAACAGTACTCTGAAGTTTTGTTAATATGTATTAATCAGCATGATGAAACAGCAGCTCTTATTTCTTTTTTGTTTATCCAATTTCTTTGCCTGCCAGTAAGTTTCACTCACCAATTGATCATATACACTTATTTCAATGTTTCGTGCTTCCACCCACTTCCCAGCAAATGCGTTAGGGTGGAGGTTGTCAAATAGTAGTTAATAATTTCCTCTGCATATTTATATATCAATGTCATGATCACAGCTATTAGTAATTATGGCCATGGTGGGAAAATTGTTTTAAAACGAGTGATGGGCAAACAAGAAACAAGAAGTATGACAAAATAATAAATAGCATTAACAAGAGAGCAAAAGTTATCTGCTCTCTTGGAGGTCATTTCTAAGATTAGAAGAATAAGATACAAATCAAAACATGTATGATTATTTTTACATCAATTTAAATAAAAGGGAAACAACAAAGAATATGTGCTATAGACTTAATTTTCTCAAAAAGTCATGGATATGAGTGATCTACTGTATCTAGGAGTGCCATTGAATCACTCATCCAGAACTTTGGCTATTGTAAAAGCACATGTGTGTATTGGGCATAGGGATTCTCCAGGTAGTGACAACCATAAAGGTTTAAGATGGTAGTTATGGACACACAATTAAAGCCTTGTCCCCTTTGGATGTGTCTCCTCACGTACTTAAAAGTGGCAAGGCTTCAGCTGTATAATTTTGTTCACCATCTCAACATTTTTTTACATTCCCCCACCTCCATCATGCTGCTGGATTGGCATAAAATAGTGGTGAATAAGCCTAAATCAAAGGCTTTTAAAAATATGACTTAAGTCTTTTTGTAAAGCTAAGTCTAGGATCTATTTTATTTCTGAAAGAGTTTCCTCATAGCCAGTCAGGAACTGATACTGAATGGAAAATCTGCAGAATTTTCTATGCAGTATATTTCATATACTCAAAGGACGGAGAGTTATTTTGCAAAGTTAAAAAAAACTTGAGGACTGCTTAAGAATTTTTTGAGTCAATATCTCAACTGGCAGAGCTAGCTGGCTCTTTAATAAAGACAAGTTTTTTTCTGGTCTTAATAACAACATAATAGTGTGCTTCTTAGTAAAAATAATTTGCCAGTCTGTTCTTGGATGGTTTTTCAAGTTCTTTGTCTAATCTACAATCCTGAGATTTCCTTGTAATCTCCTGAGTTCTAACTAGGTTGTTACATTTTTGAGATTGAAGCCACAGCTTTATTAAGGCAATACAATTTTTTCAGATACAAAACTTCAACTAACAAGCTGTTACCTGTAGAAAGGATCATGGGTGTTGTGTCCTGAGCCTGCAAAGGCAGGCTCGGGATGTTGCAATGGTCCCAGGCAGTTGCAAGCTGCCTGGGACCAGACTGAGTGGCACCGGCTTCGCGCGTACGCGCAAGGCGTGGAGCGCCCCTAAATGTTACCTTTTTGCCCGGGGATGCTATTAAAGGAGTCAGGCCTGCGAGCCTCAGAGCTGTGACGGAGAGAGAACTACTTCAAATAAAGGGTTGTTGGAATTACAGAATGTACTGTATTCATTCGCCGTTGACTCGAGGACTCAACAATGGGGAAAGGAGGAGGCAAAATGTGGCTCATGTTTGAACTACATTCCTACCAGTTTACATGCTTTGATATAGTAATTTTAAAAACCACATTATTCTTACTTTTCTGAATTTCCAACCATCCTTCTGGAGAGTTTGGGTGAATTCAGAAGCTTGCAACTACACTGTAAGACTTTTTTGCAGTATACTATATATCTCCTTCTGTGACGTATTTATGTTTTCTTGATATGTTCTTTCTACATGTCTCTGAACCATGATAGCCAAGAATTTGAGTTTTCCTCTTCCTTTCTTTTCTCTGTAAATGGATTTAGAGTTCCAATTAGATAGATATTTGTAATCCAAATAGTTCAAAAATATTTTTTTCTAAAATTTATAATTTTCTCTTTGATTACAGCCCAGATTATCTTTTTTCACAGCTGTTCTTTGTTGTTAAAGCTTTGAAGGTCACAGACACAGATTAGCTTTTCCCAGATTTTGCCAAATATATTAAAGCATATTAAAGTCATAGCTGTCATAGTTTTCATCTGCCACTAAGTGTCAGAAACTGTTTGTTTTTCAATTTCCAAAATGAACAATTATCTTGATGAGAGTCTTAACCATTAAAACAATAGAATAGAGAATAGAGAAGATCAAATTCAAGCATGCTGTTCACAGATGTGCTGGTTAATGCTTTGGGACTTCGGTTGCAAGTAGCTTAGGCTGGTTGATGCAGTATGGCCAGCCTTTCTCCTGTCAGGTTAGAAGGTTTTCCCCAAGTCGAACAAAATGGCCGCTGCTGTTCCAGAATCGCTGGAGCAACCTTCTTTCTTCATTGCCTTTTCGGGGCAACATAGACCCATTTAGGGTCCCAGGCAGTGCGAAATTAGCCACGGGGGTACAGAGAATCTGCAAGCGCGACCGGTCACTACCGCGCAAAACTGGAAGTCTAATTCAACAATGACTTTAAACCACAAAGAAATCCAAAACAACTTTGAAAATATAAATCAAATCTATTTCCAAGTCAACTCTACAACAAATAAATAAATAAATGGCTATAGAATGGAGAATAGAGACTTAAAGATGGAACTTAACAAAACAAGGAAACATGATTTAATCCTAGTGGAAAAAATTTCACAAGAATTGGAAAAAAACATTTTATTCCTTAAGACTACAAAATAAATCTAAGGACAAGAAAACAGACCAGAAAAAATGGACTGTAGAGATGTCAGGAACATTGGACAGAAAGGAAATGATAAGAGAAGCAGAGAGAAAGAAAAAGAAAAAAATTTCAACAAACAAGGAAAGACAGAAGTCCCATACAAAGACACTTCTCCTGATTTACTTTTTATATCTACCGCAACATTTACAAACATATGGAAAAACTTTTTGCTTCAGCAAAATACATTGATTAAGAAAGACAGTGAGCAAAAGAAAAAGACTAAAGTGGAAACTAAGAAAATAGATGATGGGATTTAGCAGAGAGAATACTTAAAAAAAGAAAAGTTTGTTTGAATATGGTTAAAGAAATAGAAAAGTTTTGAAAATATATATGTGACTCTAAGAGGGATGAATTCTCTAAATATAATATAGTATGCCTTTTTCCCTTTTTTTGTTCTCTTTCTTGATACGAGTAATATAAAAAAGTAGAAATAACTTAGATAAAGGAAATGTTTTAGATATTTAAATGTGATAGAATTTAAGAAAAATATGATGGATAAAAATGTTTTAATAAGAGTTAAAGGACTAGATGACTAGATGTATTAAATGGAATGTTTAAAGATTAAATATATTTTCAATTACGGTTAAAAAGAATAAGAAATTTAGGAAATAAATACATATTAGCTTAGGAGAAATATATATTTTAAGTAGTATGTTATTTTTTATGCTTCTTTACTCTTTTCTTTCTTTTTTGTACTGTTTTATCTATTTTTAAGAAATGTAAAAGTGTGAGATGGTTCATATGGAAAAATAGAGTTAAATTCTTAAATGTAATTAATTTTTGAGAAAATCTTAACCAGTAAGAATATCTAGAATTTGGTGCGAGAAACAAATTAAAATAAGGACTGTAACAGGATCTATAAAACGATCAGAATGATTGGATAGAAAAGAAATATTATATTGATGTGATTATTATGTTTAGAACTATTGGGAAAAAAATTATATATTTGTTTTCTATCAAAACAATAAGAATTGTATTAACTCAATGTTTGCAAAAGAGGGTATTTTGGGAAGAGGAAATCAACTAAAACTATTATGTGGATTATGGATTATAGAAATCAATTGTTAGTTATTGTTTTACAGATGTAACCCAGACAACACACTGTTCACCAATTATTGATTTATGTTTTAAATAAAATACATTACAAAAAAAAGACCTTTTTTGCCTATTTTCTCTGTGCTGTTTGACTTTTTTCTCCCCCTATAGTCAGTAGGTCCTTTTTTCCATCCTAAGTAATTAATGACATTTGAAGCAGAGTCGTTGATTCGACGCCATTTCATCAATATGATCTATTCAATAATCTTGGCAAGTTAAGTGTCATCCTAATTTAGTCTATTTATCTCTATTAGTCCTTGCCCTTTAATTGGTTAATTTATTTATACGACCCGCTGCGGACGGGTATTAACTGGTTCCCCGGATGTGTAAATCACTAGCCAATGAACACAAAGGGCTAATATAGCCCAGTAGGGAAGAAGGCAGACCGAAGAAAAACAATTCTTCTATCCAATAGCAGTAGGGGATACTGATAGGTTCTCGCACATGAGCAAAATCCTCCAATCGGTGTCTTCGGTGCTGGCAACAAATGGTTCCGGCCCCTGTTGTCGGTGAGGTACAAGAGGAAGCGATGTTCTTCCTACTGCCATGGCTCGGGCTCTTGAGGCGGCAGCTAACTCCGGTGGGAAGAAGAATTTGTCACAACGGCGTCACCGAAGCCTAAGAGACCCGCGCCGGCCCTCTTGAGACTCCCGTCTGGGAGGTGAACGTCGGAAACGCTGAAGCTGGCGAGCCGGGGCCCCGAGTTAGGAGCCCCTCCTGCGTTGCGGAGCTCGGCTCCCCAGAGCTTTGTCCCGGCTCAGCAGAAGAGGATGAAAAAGCGCAAGGAGCTGAACGCGCTCATAGGCCTTGGCGGTGGAAACGGCGACCGGGGAAGCGGAAGCGGCGGAGGCGACCGGCGCAAAAAGAAGCATCCCAGGAAAGGCTCCGCCTCGGGTCATCGATTGCTCCGCACTGAGTCTGCCGAGAGTAGCACCAGCAGCTCCTCTGACCCGGATTACGGGGACAGATTCGGGCTGCCGGGCGCCCGCGCCCGCTTTTCTAAGTGAGATCCGGATAATCCAGGAGAAGGGAGGAAGCAGGGTGGATGCAGGATATGGGAACCGAGGATGGTCTGTGTAATCAGGAGGTTTAGGAATAGAAAGGGATGTGGCGCTTTATGGGGAGGGAAGAGACACCGAACGGCTTTCAGGTTATAATTGACACGGAATTTTGAAGAAGCCGAGTTAACAGGTGTTGAGAAGGAAGGTTGCATTTGGAATGAGTGTAAGTCAGAAAATATATTGATTGGAATAGCAATATTATTAATAGCCTTCAATGTGCTGCTCTGATAGCTGCTTTGGATTGATAGTACTTATAATGGTAACACATTTGGAGAACATCAATTTGCTGAACCCAACTGGAACTGAAAACGTTTGCTGCTAGGGTATGATTACAGTCACAGCAACACACTTTCTAGAATTAGCTTTCCCTGAAATAGTAATTTTAGGTGTGTTACTTGTATAACTTGTCTTAGTGTTCTTGCACTAGGCTTAATGATGCAGGTATGAGGAAGAATGATACTGTCATTCTTTCTGCTTGAGTATTATCAGTTTGCAGAGATTGTACTGTTAATTTGATTCCTTAATACAATTTTAGTTGCAATAATACATAAACATATCAAAGCATAATCTGGTTTTATTAGCGTTTGTTGTACATTTGTTTCTCCTTTGTAATATATCTATAAATGTTCCTGTGGGATAAGGTACTTTTTTCTTATACTTTTGTTTAACATATTTAACTTTGTAATTCTATCTTAGGCTTGATGTAAAATAACACTAATTATTCTGCTCTGAGTTCTATGCAAATTTTATATGTTTCAGTCTTATTACCTTTTTTTAAGCTAAAGTGTCCCAAATATTGTAGTCTTTTCTTATATAGATGTTTAATCTCCTTGATTATTTTGGTTGGCCTATTATGGCTTTGCTTTTTTTTTTCAGCTCTATTATAGTTTTCAAGTACAGTTACTAAGTTTAGTATTTGGAAATACTAAGTATTTCAGATGCAGACATGCCGTATATTTATATGAGGACAATACAATATTGGCAATTTCATTTTTATTCCTAATTTTTCATAGCATGGAATTTGCCTTTTTTCATATTTGGTATTGTATAAGTATATAGAGTTAAAAAGCCCCATTGCTTCCAACATTTAATTTATCAGTTTAGTGTAATATTTAGCTCTGTTAGCAAATAATGATTTGGAACATTTTTAATGTAGGGGTGACTACCTGCGATGCTGCAAACTCTGCTACCCGTTATGTGCTTTTGTCATCTTGGCTGCTTGTGTGGTGGCATGTGTTGGATTGGTATGGATGCAAGTTGCTCTCAAAGAAGATCTGGATGGATTAAAGGAAAGATTTAGAATCAGTAAGTTCGAATCTCAAATATTTGCCATTTCTATAATGTACAGAGAAGAAATTAGCATATAGCTTGCCTTTAGCTAGCATGCATTATGGGCAAAATTATATATTCCCATTTTCTTAAGAATATTTTACTGCTTTAGATGGTTCTCATTGGCTGGAGGTGCTTAAACAGAGATCAGATAGCCACCTATCACAGATGTTGTAATAGTACATTCCTTTACTGGGCAGGGAGGTGGACTATTGATCTCCCAAGGTCCTTTTCATTCTTTCTTAATTTCAAAGTCCAATCAGAAAAGATGTTGATTACATCAACCCAAAGGTCCAAAAAGCACAAGCTTTCAATATCTTCATCAGGCAATATTTTAAAACACAGAGGTGGCAGGTGAAAGAGAGGAAGAAAAAAAATTGACAATACAGGTAGTCCTCGACTTACAAGAGTTTTTGTTTAGTCTTTGTTTAGGTAAGGAAATATCTTTGAAACGATGACCTAACAGGCATGGGTTTCTTGTGCTTTACTATTTTATAAAGAATCGGTACAATAAATGCACTGGGAAGTGTACTTGAGACCTGGAAGAAAATGTTTGTTGTTTGTGTGAATTATACTCTGTTTTTCTACTCTAAGACAAAACAGAATCCCTCCAGAATCTTAAATCTTAAGTATCAAATTAATATAATTAACTAGAGATAATTCTTTACATGTTTCTAAGTACAAGACAGTGGAGGCCAAGTGCAATTTCCATAATTTGAGAGCAGTGTAGGAGAACAGGCTCTTCTGTATACTATAGTAATGATAATGGGCTTCTGAGACTGGGAATATGCATATTCATAATGAGAGTCATGGCCTCTTAGATATTCAGAATTAGAGCATAAATGAAATTACTTACATACTGTCAGATTCATTAAGTATTTAATTTTCTATTTTAGTGGAGTCTAATCAAAAAACTTCATTTCAAGAAATTCCCAGAATGACTGAAGAGCTCCTTAACAAAGAAAAGGAATTGGAAAAAATTAAGAATGGAGATTTGGGGATAAACAAAATATGGATAAACATCACTGAAATAAGCAAACAGGTAAAGTGAGAAAGCATTTGTTTAGGTAAAGTTGTACCAAAAATAGGGTTATATAGCACTCTTAATCACTCAATTTAGTCAGTTAATATTAAATTATATCGAACATTTTCTATATTGTGCAATAGAACGTCCAACCTTTGCTTTGTTTACCAATAAAGGGGAATATTTGTAGTTCAAATTTGTTCCTTTGAGTTAGTCTTCAGTCCTGGTAACTCAACATCAACATATTCATAACGTTGTCTTAGGATGAACCTTTACAACAGAAAGGATAAAAACCTGTCCTGTAAAGTTATTCTTTCATTTGTGATTACAGATATCTTTATTGATGTTGGCAGTAAATCATCTCAAAACAAATATTAAATCTGCTTCTGATTTGATTAATCTTCCTGTTACAGTGGAAGAGCTTCAGAAAGTATGTATTATATTTAATACTTTAATATTAATCAACCTTTAGCATTTTTGTGCTATAGATAACTTGACAAGTATAGAGCTTTTCATTATATCTTTCCTTCCTAATAGGAATTATATCTTAATTGTGTTTTCATCCCTCTTTATTTGAAAATGTATGAAGAAAACATAAAAACATATTTGTAAAACTATTGAAATCCTGCTTTCCAGTTAATGTGACTAGACGATGAAAAATGGTATATTTCACCAATGATACTAATGACTTGTAAGAAGAATATAGGTGGCAATTAGTAGTGGTGATTTCAGTGTCTCTGCAGTATTGAGGCCTACTAGTAAAATTGGGCATAACTAATGTATTCAGAATTGTTGTTCTTATATGTTTACAGCCAATATTATGTTGGCTTGCCTGGAAGTAAGTTCCTTTTTTTATATGTAAGCTAAGTGCAGTACTACTGACACGTTGTATTTCCAGCACTTTTTATATTTTTCCTATAATCCAGAAAGTAATTTTAATCATACTTTGGGATCTTTTTATGAGTAAAATTGCTACAAAAGTTTATATCCTATAGTATGCTTTCCTGGGGAGTGTATACTTCTAATTAGTTTTGAAGGTAATGATGCAAATTTTAAATTAATCTGCAGAGTGTTTGCATATTTTTCCAGTAGAATTGATAATACTAGAGGTTTGTGTTTCTAAATACTTTTACAAATATTTGTCTGCATGTTTTTGTCCAAATATGAAAACAGTTTATCGTAGGATGTATCTTTTCTTGCATATCCAAGTCTGATGATGCAGTTGGAATCTTTGTATGTATATTGCAATATAAACGATCTTGTTACCCTACCACATACACTTTATGTATGCTTTGATGTGGAAATAATTTCAATGGAACAATACAAAGTGACTTGTTTTATCCTCAGACCTGATTCCATATTCTTCAAACGTGATATAAGTTCCCAGTTAGATATAGCCAAGAAAATAAATTGTTATTCATAATGCAATAAATTGGAGTAAGCACATTCAGTTAATCGATCAATGAATATCTGATGCCAAAAGATTTATTCTTGGTTTTTCTCCTAGAGTGTTGCTACTATAGGTAGCACAGTAACTAGTGTTCATCATGATGTTGAGGCCATGCAAGCAGCAATTGAAGAGCAAAAGAAGACTCTAGAAACTCTCCAAAAAGAAATAGTAAGGATGTATAGACATTTCACAAGAGTACATTCAGTAGTACATCCTATAAGAATTTCAGATTTGGTATGCAATTTAAAAATAAAAGTGGCTGAAGGTTTTTTTTTTTTTTTACTATTATTTAAACCTCCCTATGATTTTATTAATAAAATTGATATTTATAGTTTACTATTTTAAGTGGAATACATTTTATGTTCTTTTAAGTTTGTTAAACTATCGGGTCTTAAAACCAATTTAAATTTGTAAATTCTCTATAATCAGATTTGTAGATATTGTTTATGCAGATGGAAACATTTTAATGTTAACATCACATTTTAGGCAATTAGTTTAGGCAGACACTTCACTTTTCTAGCTATACCTCTGCTTCCTATTCTTCTTGCACAAAAACATTACATCCCAATTTAATGTAAAGCAAATGTCAGTATTTTATAGCTGCTCTCAAAAGGCTTACCATCTTCTTATTGCTTTCTTGTCCTTCAATTAATTGCAGAATGTAAAGAACTTGATATGGAGAGGTGTTATGGTTGATGGGTTATGAATATTCAAATAATAATTGGTTTAAACACATATCTTAATATATTTCAGAATGAACACATAGAAGATGTTAGACAAAAGCATTTACCTACCTTTTCCTCCTCTTCTGTCCCCCAGATAAATGACAAGAATATGACGAACAGTTGTAAACAGGTGCTGCTTTTTTGCTTTTCAAAGCTTTGGAAATCACTGTTTCAAAATTGTTGTGTAAAAATAAAGCCAGGATAGCTTTGCATTGTTATATTCCTTAGTATTACTTTTGCAGCACAAATGCTGATATTTATAGTGCCTCTAGAATGAAAGTAGTCAGGAAGCTATTGCTCCTGCTTCAAATGCATCTAGTATAATCGTTGAGAGTAGTTGCAATATGATAACGATTTAGTTTCCATAACCTATTATTCAGTGTTGAAAGACTCCAGGTATCTGACAATTACTGAATTATTCCTCCTAACTTCCTATTAGCCACTTAGCATAAGTTGAGTTATAATTGAAATACCAAGAAAAAAATATGTACATAAAACTACAACGGCATTCTAATAGTTTAATGGATGTGCAGAATCCATAATAGCCACTGAAACTGGCCTGCATTGGAGAAGAAGTGCATGAGGTAACCTCTAATTCTACTTCTTTCTTTAACTTATGATTGAGCACATTTCCATTGCTAAGCATGACTGTCAAGTGAGTTTTGCCCCATTTTATGACTTTCTTGCCACAGCTGTTAAGTGAATCACTGTGGTTGTGTTAGTAACGCGGTTAGTAAGTGAATCTGGCTTCCCCATTGACTTTGTTTCTCAGGTTGCAAAAGGTGGTCACATGACCCCAGGACACTGCAACTGTCATAAATATATTCCAGCTGTTAAGGGGCTGCTGCAAGGTCGTAAGTGTGAAGAACAGGCACACGTCACTTTTTCCGGTACCGTTATAACTTTGAACCATCATTAAGCAGGTGATTGTAACTGGAGGATTAATTGTATATTCCTTTGATTCTGTTGAACTTGAAAAGGCTACATAGAATAAGTTAACAGTGTACTAGATTCATCACGATTATGTTCTGCTTATTTTCAATAATTTGTTGCTTTTATAGTCAAGTAATAAAATTGTTTTTCTGTTAAAACAGGATAACCAATATCTACATATCTCTATAGAAGAGATAAACTCTACCCTAATGTTACATCAGAAATTGAATGATTTAAAATTTTTCCATCTGGATTCAACAGTCACCAACCTAAGTTGCAAAGTTACTTCCTTAGAAAATCACATGTTTGTTGTGAATAAACTGGAAAATAGAAAGAACCTTACCTTTGGTATGGTGAGTATCTAACAGTTTTAAGAATTAAACACTTGCAATATGTTACTCATGCAGGATAGTAAGCCACAAGCAAACACGTGCATTATATACTGTCTCTTGCAGGTGAGTAACCTAACTACCTCGGTAAATACAGAAAGTGAATCAAGAAATGAAAGTACTGCTGAAAAAGTAGAAAATATGGAGGTAAGTTTTGGAGAACCATAGTGAAGGTGATTTTTTTTTTAAAGAGCTCCCTTGAATTGTCTTCCAGACTTGAAGGGTAAGAACAGCAAGGTAACCAACTCAAGTGAAGTGACAGAACAATTGAGCTTCCTATCCCAAATATATAATTTTTCTCCATCCACATTTTGTAAAAACAAAAATCCTGTGCGAGCTGAAATGTTGAAAAGATTATATTGATTCAGTCTCAAAAAAATAATAAAAAATATATTTAAAAAATTAAGTGTAAACTTTCTTTATAAATCTACCCACAGAGAAGAAATTCCATTACTGCATTAAAAATCAAATTGGAAGCAAGTGAAATGATATCTTAGCTTTTACAGTGATTGATATTAAATCTGTAACTGGTCCAAAGCTGACAAAACACAGTATGTAGCTTTGTTTATTTACCCATGTTGAGTTCTGTTTAATTGAAAAGTGTAAAGAACTATTGAGAATGCGTTCCTGTGTCTTCTCTGTTGGGAAAAACAAAACAAAAAAACACATTTTTTTCAAACATTTCAAAACTTTAATATATGGTCCGCAATTTACTGATGTGAGTTTGGCTGTTGTTATTTAATGCTGGAAGTCTATAACTTATACTTTTTTAAAAAAATACTTTAAAATATAATAAAATATTAATCTATGGGACATTAAAACATCATTTCAATTTTCATCTTAGTTCAAAATCTTAGATGTAATATCTTGATTTTAAAAAAAAATCCATGCTTTTAAAGGACATACATTTACAAGGCAAAATATTCTCAATTCCTCCCCCCCCCCCCAAAAGATCAACTTTCTGTTCCTAAGGATAATTTTCATGCTCTAAAACTACTCAGGTTATTTTATGTTGTAACTAATGACTAATTAAAGTAATTAATGAAACCAAGTTTTAGTCACAATTGTTTTAAAGAATATGGAAAACTATACAGTAACATTACAGCAAAAGTTTACACCAGAACTTTAGTTTTAAGATTTGAGGACAGAATGCTAATTTTGTCAATAAAATGGGCTTTACTGTGTATTTATGTCAACCATAGATTGATAAATTCAATGTACAGTCATGTAAAACAAGTACAGTAGGGAATCATTTTAATTTAGTTCATTCATTCTAGATAGAACTATTACTTGATATGACAATACCTGAAATTAGTTACTCTTCATAGGAATTAAGAGAAAATTCCTGATGGGTTTTGACACTGAGTTCTCTTTACAATGTAAATAGTTACAGTATTCTCATAGAAAAAACAGTACATAAATATACTTGTTAGAAACATATAAGCTACACTGTATTTTGTATTAAGTGCAATCAAGTGAAACAAACAGGGCTTCTTTAGATTTTTTTTTTTTTTTTTTGGTAATCTACAGAAAATAGAAAATGGAGAATCTCAGGTATCCAAACTAAGGGAAAAGCTGCAGCTGATTAATGCTCTGTCAAGCAAATCAGATAGTGAACGATCTGAAGCACTTAAAGGTAAACATCTCATATACATGTCATTTTGCATATTGTATTAGAATATCAAGCTAATTTCATTTAATCATACTTTAATTACTAACTTACTTTAACAAATTGTTATCTGTTTCCAAATGCATACCTGAAGGTATGGAGATCTATTTACTGGCTAGCATTTGAATTCAAGCTTCTGAACTAAAGCTTTTAGTTGTCGTATTTCATCGAATTAAATTCAGAATTTATATGTTAGTCAGTTTCCACTTGGAGTCACCATGAAAGAAACTGTAGCTGGAGTAGAATGCAACTGACCAATGCTGCCTGGTATAATCACATAACACAATTCCGCATGATCTGTATTGATGGCCACTTGGTTTACAGGTGCTTGTTTTCACCTTTACAATCCTACATGGTTTGGAGTTGGATTTCTTAAAGAGTATCTACTCCAGAGGGAGTCTAGGTCACCTAAGATAGACCTGCTGAGGGTTGCCATTTATCATGAGATACAATAGGATGGAACTTACAGTGGATATAGAAAGTCTACATACCCCTGTTAAAATGCCAGGCTTTTGAGATGTAAAAAAATCACACCAAGATTAATCACTTTAGATTTTTTCTACCCTTAATCTAGCATATAAACTGTACAATTTTTTCTACCCTTAATCTAGCATATAAACTGTACAATTCAACTGAAAAACAAACTGATGATCTGATTAAAAAAAAAACAAGTAATAGTTCTGGTCTTCAAATCTCCAGAAGGCAGTCAGTCTACATGTTTATTATTTACTTTAGTATGAGTAGAAATAGAATATATTTGAAATCTGCTAAGGTTGCTTGTGACTGCTTTATACCATCTAAATAAAGTCTCCCTCCCCCACCTTGATGCATAATATTTACTGTTTTCAAATGAGAAAAAATATATAACTGCTGTAAAATTACTTGGCAGTAGAAAATTCACAGAGCATCACATCAGAGCCTACAAAACTTCCAAGAATTTCTTCAAGATCACTTGGCAATAATTTTGAGGGAAGTCGACATCCAAGAAGTTTGTCCTTACCTGGAATATCCAACATAGAAGGTAAAGTTGAGTTTTTAGATATGAAAACATCCCATGTTTTGCATGCAAAATTTGGTTCTAGATATCAAAGAGTTTTCTTCACAAATTTAAGTTGGGAGTCTACATTTAGAAATGGCAAAATGAATGAATGTGTGTGTGTGTGTGGATTTATTTATTTATGATGATAAATATTTGTGTATAAATAAGTAAGCAGTGGGGTACCCAAGGTTCCGTCTTAGGCCCAGTACTCTTCAATATCTTCATCAATGACTTAGACGAGAGAATTGAAGGGGAACTCATCAAATTTGCAGATGATGCCAAACTGTCAGGAGTAGCTAACACCCCAGAAGACAAACTCAGGATCCAAAAAGATCTTGACAAACTCGAACAATGGGCCCTATCCAACAAAATGAGTTTCACTGTGGAGAAAAACAAGGTTTTACACTTAGGCAGGAAAAAACAAAGGAACAAATATAGATTGGGTGAGACCTGACTTGGAGGCAGTAACTGTGAGAAGGACCTTGGAGTCCTGGTGGACAATCACTTAACTATGAGCCAGCAATGTGCAGCAGCAAACAAAAAAGCTAATACAATCCTAGGTTGTATAAACAGGCATAGAATCAAGATCACACGAAGTACTAGTACCACTTTATAAAGCCCTGGTAAGATCACACCTTGAGTACTGCAGCCAATTTTGGTCACCATATCACAAAAAAATGTTGAGAGTCCGGAAAAAAATCAGAGAAGAGCAACTAAGGTGTTCAAAGCCCTGGAGATCAAAATGTACAAAGAACGGCTGCAGAACTTGGGTTTGGCCAGTCTAAAGAAAAGAAGAAATAGAGACATCATAGCAGTATTCCAGGATCTGAGGGGCTGCCACAAAGAAGAGAGAGTCACGTTATTCACCGGAGCACTAGAGGGAAGGACGAGAAACAATGGTTGGAAACTGATCAAAGAGAGAAGCAACCTGGAATTAAAGAGAAACTTCCTGACAGTGAGGACAATCAACCAGTGGAACAGCTTACCCCCAGAAATTGTGTGCGCTCCATCACTGGAAGTTTTTAAAAAGAGACTGGACAATCACCTGTCTGAAATGGTATAGGTCCTGCTTGAGAAGGGGGCTGGATTAGAAGACCTCCAAAGTCCCTTCCAGATTCTATTCCTATTCCTATTCTATTCTATTCTATTCTATTCTATTCTATGCTTTCAGATGGGACAAATGGCTGCTAGTTTCACGTGGGATAAGCAGGGTTGGGATTATAGAGGTACTTAATCTCATCATCAGCGCAGCTCTCTCTTTGAAGTTACTGTTAGTCATAATAGCTTTGAAAAATGATGTTCATGTTAGCAAAAAGGGTGATTCTCTGCTTTTGCAGAATCCCCATGTCCTAATTATCCCTTCATTTTCTTAAATATTTTGTATTGGGTTATTGCCAGAAGTCAGCGATGGCGAACCTTTTAGAGACCGAGTGCCCAAACTGCAACCCAAAACCCACTTATTTATCACCGGGTGCCAGGAGGGCGTGGTCCACTGGGTGGGCGTGGCTGTGGTGGTCATGGCAAAGTGGGTGGGTGTGGCCAAGGTGGGCGTGATCACCTCAATGTTGCTCGTGAGGAGGGACACCTGTGGGGGCGGGCAGGGTTGGGGGAGATCAAGGGGGTCTCTGGCAGATGGGGCAGTGGGCAGTAGGCTTGTCCTGTGGGGTGAGGCGAGGCAGGGCAGGGGTGCCATTGTCACAGGGCAAGGTGAGACGGGCTGGGACGGCTGGTGCCTGACACCATCAGTCCCTGCACACAAAGGCCAGCGAGCGCATGGATGCTGGGATGCATCCGGCCATGTGGGACCTCGGCGAGTTAGCGGGCGGCTGGTTGAAGAGGGAAGGTTGCCATCTCCGGGGCATAGCGCATGTACCCATAGAGAGGGCTCTGAGTGCCAGCTCTGGCACACATGCCATAGGTTTGCCACCACTGCCATAGGTTATCCAATTGAAAATATTAAAGTAACAAAAGAAATATTCTGAACATGTATAAAAATAATATAAAATGGGTTATTATACTACAGTCTACTCTGAATACTTGAAGCAGATAATCAGCTATATTAAGTCAGTTGACATACATTAATCTTTAGCAATTATCTCTTTCCAAATGTTTAGTGCTGTTCTTGCTAGTTTAATGCATATGTATGGCATATCATTATTGTTTTGGGGTCAGCTCAGATATAATGATTTTCCATAGTTTAGTAAACTAAAAATGAGGTTGCATTCTATTTCATACCATTTCGTTTTCCATAACAAAACAAGGTTGGCTTTTTGTGGTTTTTAATCAACCATGATAGTTGTAGTTTTACACATATAATGAAAGTAATCTTTGTTTAGTAAATATACATTAAACTGCATTTTCTGAATTGCAGGTGAATGATAAACTCTAGTTAAATAATCCATGATAGAAATATCAGTGCTGACAATAAGGAGACTTGAGTTTTATGTATATGATGTTGCTATTATTGGCATAATAAACTTATTTCTTTAGCTAATCACATCGTAACTGACTTATGAAGGTTTTTGGGGTGATTGAATTCAGGAGAGAGTATGAATTATATTTTATAATTTTTTGGGTCCTTGCAGATCTTCAAAATTTATTCAGGACTTCTAGCCAGGGCACTAATGACAAGCTAACCTATGAGGACCTGGAAAATCTGGTTGGATCAACAGTGCATGGTCGACAGAGTTTTCAGGAGTTTGATGAAGATGGAGATGGAAGATATTCCATATCAGAACTGAAAGTAGCATTGGGTCTATAGTATCTTTTCTTATAAACACAGTATTGAAGGACTACAGTAGCTATGTTTTTTTAAAAAAACCAACTGAATAAGTAAAAGCTTCTAGCACTTTTCTCAGTGATCTGCTAGTCTTTGAAGTTAATTTAGTGTATCAATTGACACCTTTTAAATTTTCTGTTCTTTGGAAAATAGCAAAAAGCGTTTATATTTTTATCTGTTGTAACATAAGATATGTTGATCCCTGAAAGTTTTTCCAACTTTTGAGGCTCTGATCTAGGGGTAAATAGCTATGCCTAAGTGTGTTTATGCAAACAGGGCCTATTAATAGCAAATACATTATTGCATTGGTTTTGATTCCCACAGAACTAGGGACATTTTATTGTCCTGGATCATGGTCCCAGGATTGCATTATATTGAATTGAGTGGTTGTAATGAAAATGATAATTGCACCTTATGACTACACAAAGAATTTTATCTCAGACTTTATTTCCCGTATAAGGGAAGCTCATCTTCAAGTTAAAATGTGTGTATATATTGACAGACTTGATTTTATATTTCAAATTTGCCTTAAATTAGCTGCACTTTAGAATAAAATATAAAAACTCTGATTTGCAGGATGGGATTCTTCCGTTTGTAAATATTTAAACTAGAATAACATATACATATTTGGATCTAATTTGCATTGAAAGTAATCAATTTTCCAGGTTGTATTAAGTAAAAATCGGCAGCAGAAAACATTTCTTCTTCCTAGGAATTACACTTGTATGACACTCCTTTCCTATATTTGTTTGTGAAACACTGGAAAGTTTGTGCTACTTAAAGACTAACATTGTGCCAGACTCTAAAGAAGACTTCAGTTCTTGAAATTGAGATAAAAAAGACATTCTGAGAAACAGGTTGTAAGAATAATAATTTCTTCTGGTTTTAAATTGATCACAGATTCATTGTTATTTTCAATTATAATAATTTTATGAAGAAGGATTCCTGCTGGAAACATTGCAATTTGTACTTCAGTTTTTCCTATTGTATTGTTGATACTTTATTCAATTAACTTTCCCCAGTTTAACAGAGGATTAAAAGTGGTGTTAATAGTTAGCATAGTTAATATTATCAGTAATTCTGATACTCTCAGAGAAGAATGAGATGATAAGGACCAAATTATATATTACATTAAGTACATTTTTGCGTTTTCACTCTATAGTTTGATGATTTATTTTAAAATTAATTCCAATGTGAGATTCAAATGGATTAAGATTGTGGCATGGACCAGCTATTTTCTCCACACTATAATTAAATCTCCTGCTTCTTAAATTTCAGTTTGAGAAAGATTTCCACTAGGAGTACAGCATCTTCCTATGTACTCTGGCCTATCAATATTAGTAAGCTTTTGCCTTATTAAAAAACAGATGTGTTTGTGAATGTGAAGTCACTTTTGGTGAGATGGCTTGAGCTATCAGCTTGGAAATTCTAGGTGTTTTAAACTGCTTTTTTTGTTATTAAAAAAATCAGGTGTCAGGCAAACAAATGGTAGGATTTTATTTAGTAAATCTCAGATAATCATTATTCTCTGTACAAACCAAACACAGTAAGGTTTTCTAATGTGTCATTTTTATTGTAAATCTATTTTAAAATGATACGTTGAATAGAATGCTGTCATAGTTGTTGGCTTTCTTTACAGCTTTTAGTTTAGCAAATTTAAGTTCTCAGGAATCTTCATTGCCCATCACAAAATTCAGGCTTCTTGGGAAAATAATGGCAGTATGGAGTATGGAGCACTCATATACTAGAATATGATGTAAACAGACTCCTTCCAAAATTTAATGAACAGTTTTTGGAAAACCAGATTCCCTTATCTAGATTATCCAGAATGCAAATTGTTTCCTTAAGTTTGTATGTGATCTACACCCATTAAAGTTCAAAATTCATATGGTAAGGTAACTAAAACCCAGTATTCTTTCAGATAAAATTAGTTTTATATGCTTTGTGTATAAAAACCATTGACCAAATAAAGCAATAACAATTAAATATAGCAGTATTTGTATGTGTGTATGTAATATGATTGTATAGCAAAATATTGAAGGTATTTTTAAAGGTGGCTTGTTATGATCCATATAAAAAGAATGACTTTTAATCTCAGTATTAAGCTAATTATCATGAGCACTTTTAGGGATTGTTTTCAGATACATTTTTGTTTTAACAGAAATCTCACTCCAAAATTTCTGATCTAATTTAGAAGCTGAAGTCATAGTCTTCAATATCTCAATACTGTACCGTAAGAGAAACATTTATTTGAAAATTACCCTACATTAAAGGAATGCTTTTATTAGAAAAAATGACATAAGATTAATTCATACTGTGTGTTATAGAGGAGGAAGGAAGGTATAAGGAACGACTTGAGCTGATTGATTAAGATCCTTAGCACACCAGCATTTCCCTATTTCTCACATGTGTATGTCACCACTGAGAAATTCATATTAGGCAAATTTATGAACATGAAGTGGTGAAATGTCTAAACTCTGAAGTGGTATATTTTCCTCATTTGCAAGCTTTTCAGAAAGCCAACTCTTCATGTAAAATCTTGAAGTAATTCTATCTTGTTTTTGAATATAATTGTTGTTGTTGTTAATTGCGAAGTCGTGTCCGACCCGTCGCGACCCCATGGACAATGTTCCTCCAGGTCTTCCTGTCCTCTACCATCTTCTGGAGTCCATTTAAATTCACACCTGCTTCAGTGACTCCATCCAGCCATCTCATTCTCTGTCGTCCCCTTCTTCTATTGCCCTCAATCTTTCCCAACATTAGGCTCTTCTCCAGTGAATCCTTCCTTCTCATTAGGTGGCCAAAGTACTTGAGTTTCAACTTCAGGATCTGGCCTTCTAAAGAGCAGTCGGGGTTGATCTCTTCTAGGACTGACTGAATATAATTAGAGCCTTCAAAATACATTGCTTGTCTTAAGAGGTGTTTCTTCTAATTGGCAACATTTGTGCATTTAGAAGTAAATGTATGTATTTTATCAAGAAAGCAAAATAAATATCGCAGCGTATTATAAATTGGCTCAAATAGGGCATTCTTTGAAATTATTTCAGGGTTAATTAAAATGTGCACAATAGCTGTACATTTGAAGTTGAATGTGAGCATTCTTCCCAGAACTGAGCCTGCCTCTTTTGGAAGATTATTTAAGCAAGACTAATGGGAATTAGCTAAACCACTGGTCAAAATCCTAGCATTTCCCCCATTTTAGCTTCATCTTCCTTAAGGTATAATGCTCTTCTGAACTGATGCCACAAGTCATATATCATATGTGACTATCAGCCATGCTGAATAGGATAGCTATAAGCTGTAACATATTTTAGAAAAACACAAGATTTGAAAACATTCATGTAGATATTAAGCTACAGGGTTTTTTTTTTCAGTGTTCATAGGTGCCCATGAAATGGACTCATCTCTTTATTACAGTAGTAACAGAAGGCTTCAAATGAATGTTGGATTTATAGCAATGTTTCCAATGAATATATTATATAAAAAATAGGTTATTCAGGTATTTCACAATAATAAAATTCCCTGATAAAATTAGGGGCATTCAGAATAGATAGAATAGGGACAGGGTAACGTAATAATGGAATGTATTGTCTCTTTTGTGATTGCACAAGAAAATATAGTGGCACTTAAAAAATAAAAAATACTTGATTGCAGAATTCCTTTTTTGTTCAGATAATCACATAAATTAATAAAATTAAAATTTAAGAAAAGGGTAGTTTATTTGTATGGAGAACCATAACATTGTAAAGGAGAAAATTCTTAAGGGTTTTGAAAGATCTAAGCCTGTTTCTCTTGTATGGGAGTGTTGGCTTAAAAGTGGTATTGCTCTTTATTGCAGAATTCTTTTTTTGTTCAGATAATCACATAAATTAATAAAATTAAAATTTACAGAAAAGGGTAGTTTATTTGTATGGAGAACCATAACATTGTAAAGGAGAAAATTCTTAAGGGTTTTGAAAGATCTAAGCCTGTTTCTCTTGTATGGGAGTGTTGGCTTAAAAGTGGTATTGCTCTTTATTGCAGAATTCTTTTTTTGTTCAGATAATCACATAAATTAATAAAATTAAAATTTACAGAAAAGGGTAGTTTATTTGTATGGAGAACCATAACATTGTAAAGGAGAAAATTCTTAAGGGTTTTGAAAGATCTAAGCCTGTTTCTCTTGTATGGGAGTGTTGGCTATACTTAAAAGTGGTATTGCTCTTTATGCTATTAAACATGATTCTTGATTTTATATTTCCAAAGTGAACATTATGTCCTTTTGAATAATCAGATCTTTAAAATGTTAAAACAATTTTCTGCTATGAATCATAGTGTTCATCTATGGAACTTGTTCTTTAGGATTTATATTGGAATCCACTGCACTGAAGGTTCACTGGTTTTACATTGTATAAAAGTAATTGATTTGCATTGTCCTACTTAAACTAAGTGAAATGTTTTATAAAATTGGGCCTCACAAATGTGCAAAAGCTCTTATGGAGTAAATTAAAGCTGGATTTAGGTGTGGCATTTTGCACCTATTATGCATTGTGAATGTCAAATCTAAATAAAATAAGTTTGTTTTGGGTGTGATGGTTATTTTATTTCAAGATGCATTTCATCTAAAAAAATATATTACAGGAAAAACTGAAGCGTTCAGCTTTTTCTTACTATTGTTGAAAATGCAGTTCACTTGAAAAAATCCTACTGAGTCTATGGGAGTACTGTAATACATGATAAACTGATTTGCAAAACCAGTTGCTGTTCCCAGATTACCTCTTAACACTAGAAAAAGTTGCTCCAAAGACTTCCATACCATTTGTTTTTTTTATATATATTGCTCATATATATTAAAATGTAATTTATTACTAAGGTTAAAAATAGAAGTATGGCCATGTAATATTTAGCTCTTTGGGCAATTGGGATTTAGAAATCTTAGAAAGAAGCATACACTTCGGTTTCATGATATATGAAAGGATTGTGAACAATGTAATTTCTAAAGTGATTTCTTTCTACACTAGTTGTCAAAGGCAAATTGTCTTCCCAGTATTAAAATAGTGCTTGGATGAAAACAGAAATAGTTTGAAACTGATCTTTAATTGAGTTCTAACTGAAACCAGTTAAAAATATTCCCATCCGTGACATTGACTGCTAAGCAGAAATCCTGCTACCTATACTGTATGGATCATTTTTCAAGATGGTTGGTTTTAGAGGTAAGCTGAATGGTGAACTTTCTGTTGGAATGGTAGAGCAAGGGTAAGAAGCTGAGTGTGCAAGCAGCGGCGGCATGTGAGAGAGTGCACAAGCACATGCAACTTCTTGAAATACCGGTTTGTATGGAACTGAATCTGGAAGTGGAGGGGTAGAACTGTCATCGGTCTCCACAATATTCTCACTGGGTAAGAAAGTGCTTTGTGGCTCTGGGATGTTATTAGGATTGCAGATGGCTACATTTGTTCTAGGCTGAGCTTCTTCATCAGCCCTGTGAGCCAAGGCCTGTTGAAAATAAGACTCTGCTTTCAACTGTTTCATCCAGACTTTCGCACGGCGCTTCTGAAGGATTTGTTTTCGCCATTGAAGGAGCAGCATACAGGTGAACACCAAGATGTAGCAAAAAGCTAGGCTTCCAAAATACACTGGCAGCAAACCTGTAATTAGGTCATAAAGTGAACTTCAGAAGAGAATTTGGTTATATATGTCATTTGAGTGTTACTGTTATTGCATGAGGAGGAAGTTGTGAAACTTTCAAACTGTCAAAAAATCTCCAAAACATCAATAGAATTCTGCTTTGGGTAAAAGATTCACTCACATTTTAAATTAGAAAGTGTTAGTATGTTAAAATGATCAAGTTCCCTCTCTTGTCTCTTCTATAAACATTTTCATCAAGGGAAGAATTTGATAGGGAGGTTGCTTGCTTGGAATTAAAGGATTCAAACTTCGTAATTTGGAAGAATTGCTTAAAGCTGTCTTCTTATACAGTAGCTTTTAGATTTTTTTTTTTTTAATCAGGTAGATCTACATCCCAAATCTTCCAGTTCAGATACGATGGTAAGAACTTTATAATATAATCTAAAGAATCTAAAAACAATTTATAATGCATTATTTTAAAAATAAATTATTCTACCAGTTTGAGAACTGAAGATTTAAAATAGTAGAATTCTACCAAAATAATTAAAAGTCTATAGCCAGCAAAGGTTTAATACCCCAAGCAAAAAGAAAAAAAAAAATTGGAGCTGGATTAATGCCATGGAAAAGGTCTTGTTCTATATTTCCTTTTCAATTTATCAACAAGGCCATCTACAAAAGTATTTGTAGAGATACAGTGTCCCTTAAGTGTTGAGGATTTTACCAGTAAAAATTCCGAATGGCCCAGAAATAAAGCAACGTTAGAGGACTGGTACAAGAAAGTGCTCATGGTGCACCCTTGGAAACAATTTGGTTGCCCTATTTTATACTAGCTGTATATCCAAACAACACATCAGGGCAGCATCATGTAATGCGCATTGTGCTTATCTGAACACAAGGTAACCATGGGTTATTGGCTGTGTTGTCTTTATATTGGGAAGTGATAAGCAAATTAGCCACCTGATTCTCCAAAGGGAGCAGCTTCTAAAGCAGTGGTTCTCAACGTTTGTGTGACGGCGACCCCCGTCACACAAATGTTCTGCGCATGCGCGGTGCCGCCCCCTGAGGGGGAAAAATGGCGGATCGCCGCCTTTGGCGACCTCCGAAAAATGGTCGATCGACCCCAAATGGGGTCGCGACCCATAGGTTGAGAACCGCTGTTCTAAAGTTATCTAAAGAAAAATATCCTTTCCCCACAGCCAGTCCAAAATCAACTTATCTTTTGACCAATGACTCTGAATTCATGTATTTCAGTAAAAATATACCATATGTGGTTTATTTGATTTTGGCTGAGTAGGTTCTGCAGACCCAATCATTGTAATTATTTTAATCTATTTGAACTACTGAGCTTTAGTTAAGAGACCAAAGTTAAAACAAATCAGGCACAGCATTGTATGTGCACTCTGTTTCAAGTGCTTGCTGCTGGGATCATTCACCTATCTTTCCAGTAATAAAAAATAAACTTGCTAATAGTTCAGAAAAGATACTGGCCTACTTACCACTAGGAATAATCATCATTTACTGTAAGTTTGGATTTTATCATGCCTTTATTCTAAGAAGATGAAGCTGCTCTCTTTTCAGGAGGAGAAAACCAAATGAGTAGTTGAAATTAATTCTAATGGAAAGGAATAGAAGAGAAAGTCACATTCCAAAGCTTATGATGAAACAATGGTCACCAGGAGACCATACTGAGGGCCCAAGAACATATATTCTACTCACACCCAGTTGAAATCTCTACTCTCCTAGAACATAGGTGAAAGGACTTTTTAAGTCAACAAAACAATACTATACAGGAAAGGAGAGGCTTTCTAGAAACCTTTGCCTTCCTTTTCAAGATAAGGAAATGCTTGATTGCCCACACTTCTCTTATGCAATCAGAAAAGCTACAAGCTGACTTTTCTCTGTATGTGTTATTTTTTCTGTGAGAAGGAACTGTTTGTGATGCCTTTCTCCAGGCTGTGGTCTATAGAAATATTAACCCCTTTAACTGGAAATTCTGGTAGTTGACTATAAGACCTCTCAAACAGGCCAGATAATTATTTTAGGTCAGGGATCCATAACCTTTTGGTGCTAAGAGCACACCTGGAATTTAGAGAACAGGTTTGAGGTACCTTTGCAAAAAAACTGGGGAGGATTTATCATTCAGGAGAAGCTACCTATTGGGACATAAATGTCAATGCCTCTATGGAGATTCTCAGTCATCCAGGTCATAGCTGTCTCAAAGATGCTTTTCCCCCCCAAAAGGCAACCAAACTGTTTTTTGATGAAGATGTTTGTTTCTCATCCAAGAACTTCATCAGTTGTGACTGGATGAATGTATCTATCCTTCTATCCCCCCAACCAGCCAGTTACAACTGATGAAGCTTCTTGAACAAGAAGCGAAATATCTTTTTTCTCAAAAAACAGTCCAGTTGTCTTTTGGGGGGAAAAAAAAGTATCTTTGAGACATTGGGAAATAACTATTTACAAAATGGCTGCTACCTTAATCCCCCTCATAGGATACTTATCTTTATTATTTTTGTGAGTAAATGGGCATATTTCTGAATAAATCACTTTTATATCTTTAAAAAGTTATGAGAATAAATGGGTATATTTCTGAACAAAGCATTTCATATCTATAAAAAGTTATGAGACCCATGTGGTCCTCGGGCACATTTTAAAAAGAAGATGATGCTGGAAACCAGGAGTTTATTTTACAGCACATGAGCTTCACCTGTTAAAAGAATTGTTGAATGTATTTTTTTTCAGGCAGAGCAGAGAGTTTCTAGATGATGCGTTAAGGACCCTATATTTAGATTGTAAATTAGAAAAACAATGTGTAAGTTAATATTACAACCCTTCTCCTCTATCCGCTTGATAGAAATTCATAAACTTCTAGGAGTTCACTTCAATTGAGAAGAAGACAGACAGGGAACATAAGAAATAGCAGTACTCTGCAAAAATCAGACAATCTGTTATAATAATTTCTCCTTGACAATGTGTTTATTCCCCAATAGGTGGAAGTGAAGCAATTATATGTGGCCTGAAAGATGCCCTCTGGAGGTGCTCTTACATTTCTTGCATTTGTCAAGTGCTTGTATATGGGCAGACATGAACATATCCACATAGGTGTACACACATACACATAGTAACAGAATATAATTGCTGTGCTATTTATTATATTTATACAAGTACTTGAGTTAAAGCAATCAGTAGTCAAAAATCTCTGCATGCTGTCCATCAAAGCAATTGCTATGGAAGATAATGCATTCAGCAACACAACAAATATGTTTGCCAGAGCAACTCCTCAAGGAAGCCAATTAAGAAGGATAGCAACTGATGGTACATTTATCATGTTGTAAAACAGAACTAGAGATTTCAATTAATAGACTGTTTTAATTAGAATGCTGTATGTCTACAGTATTGTGCATATAACAAAGACAGATGCTCTTGTTACCAATGAAGTTGCAATCTTTTATCATGAAAGATTGGAAAAGCAACATGATTTTATATTTCTGTTACTGTTTCCAACATAATTGTTTTAAGTTGACAGCTATAAAAATTCCCTAGTTTAAATTCAGTGAATGAAACTAAAAGGCAAACTGCTGTCATACTGTGCAGAAAAACATGGAAGGCAAATACAAGAAGTGAATCTTTGTACTAAATACTGGTAAAGGAAAAAGGGGGAAAAAACCTCAGGATTTTTTTTTTTTTTTTTTGCCAGATGGATAAGCAATCCCCCAAAACCTTTTAACTTGAATGAGGTGCACAACCCACAGTGTCCAATCTGTAGTGCAACCAGTTTCTAACGGACAACTCCGGAGAACCCTTTTATTATCCAAAATTACAAATGTTTCAATATTTATGCTGCCAGTCATGTGATTTAAATAATTTTGTGGGGTTTTTTTTGTTATCAGAAATATGAGCACTTTCTCAACATAAAATTTACCATAAGGAATATTCAAGAGCTTTCTCGGATTCCAGTAGCAGACAGGATGCTGAAGCTTTTTCCAGCTCTCAAATTTTGCAACTCACAAGAATTGGCCCCAACAGCAATTGTATTCTTTGATTATCCCTTTGATGAAATCTGGCTGTGTTTCTGTAGATTTCTCTCTGTATGACTACATCATAAAACTTGTAGAAAATCAAAACATGAAAGGCTTTTTATGAAACTGAGATGTGAAGGAAACAACCAACTCAGTTTCAGAAATATATTCACTTTTTCTATGATTATTGCATTGCTTACTAGGAAGAAGCAGCAAATTGTAAACTCGGTGAAACATAATTATTTTATGAACTGATATGTGCAATGATATATTCTGTGTAGCACAGAATAGCAAGACTGCAAAAAAGGGGGGAAGCCCTCAGCAGCTGAATGATGGGTAGAAATTTTAAAATAGGGCTATTACTTTTATGTTTCTTCTAATACAATTTGCCAGAAGTCCACAGGGCAAATGCAGCTCTGATTTCTCATGATGCCTCGACAGGTGAAAGAAAGCCATCTGGGTGACCTTGGCCAGTCACTCGGCCCTAAGAAGGAGACAATGGCAAACCACTTCCTAAAAACCTTTCCAAGTAGAGGGACTTAGCCAAGCAGCCGCCAGGAGTCAAAAAGTGATTCGAGGGCACAATAAATTTAACGGAGATCAATCATGTTCAACCCGATTTAGCCCTAAACCCCAAATATCGCCTGAACTGGCGTAGACCTAGTATAGCTTCATTGGGGACGCTCTCTTTAATGAGCTCGGTCTGCGGTTCGTATTATCTAACCTTTAAAAACTTGTTAACCCTCGTTCTCCTCTTTCTTTCCCTGGGCGGAACCTTTGCGCTGGGTGACGTGAACGGGCGGAAGGCGTTCCGCGTTGTTCGCGGCCACCGCAGCGGGGCAGGGGCGGAATGGCAGCGGGGCATCTGCAGCAGTTCTGGGGGACGGCGGGGCTGACCCTGTCCCGCGGAGTGCTGATGAGTCGCTTCGCTGCTCTTCGGCCTCTTGGCCTTTTGGTCCCGCCGCGGCCTCGGCCGCTAGTAATCGGGATCCGCGGGCTTGCAGACGAGAGTGGTCTGGGGGAGAACCCTTTCTTCGAGAAATACCGAACTAAGATCCAAGAGCTTCGCAGGTATAAGGCCGCGCCGAGAGGAGGGTTCGCCTTCGCTTTTGCTTAACTCTTTTTGGGGGGAAGAAGTGGGGGAATCTGACAGTAACCTTGAAGAGGCAGCCCTAGGAACGTCCTTCGCTGGGCTTTCTCCGCCCGCCTTTTTCCGTGCACGCCTCCAAAGGCTTTCGAGGCACTTAACGCGCATTCGAGTAAACAGGTCCAGGGTCGAGCTATCCCACACTCGGGTTTGCCTAGTTTACAGTAAGGATTCAGTTCAAGCTTTACTTGTGTGCATGCGAGCTCTACTGGTTTGGGTGCTGCTATAAATACACAGTAGATTCGCTTCCACAAGTCTTCTGTTGGAGCTGGTCGCTCACGGATATTTAAGAGTAAATATGTCCAGGTTGCTGTCATCCTGCTTTAATTAAAGTTATCAAGTATGATAAGGAAATCATACACTTTTGGTATAAGGTGGGGCTAAAGTATGATATGTGTGCGGTGTGGTAGTTATAAACTGTTCTAACTTTGATTCAGATCCAATCCAGATCTTTTTGAATCTCGCATGGAGCAAAAGAATGATTTGAAAATGCAGCCTGTGGGATTCTCAAAACAGGCAGAGTTTGTCAGATGCATGGAGGAACAGGCAAGGCTAATATCAAATATTTAATGTTTGGTATCTAATCCAATACATATTTTATTAACTATCAGAAATCA